TGGTTTCTTCAAAGGTTAATTTACTTTAAAGCTTCTGCTAATAATCTTTTTTTTTTTAATTTTTTATTGGATTATATGTTTTGGGGTACATGAGCAGAGCATGCAAGACAGTTGCGTAGGTACACACATGGCAGTGCGCTTTGCTTTTCTTCTCCCCTTCACCCACATTTGGCATTTCTCCCCAGGCTATCCCTCCCCCCCCCCCCCACTGGCCCTCCTTTTTTCCCCCCAATAGACCCCAGTGTTCAGTACTCCCCTTTCTGTGTCCATGTGTTCTCATTTTGCATCACCCACCTATGAGTGAGAATATGCGGTGTTTCATTTTCTGTTCTTGTGTCAGTTTGCTGAGGATGATGTTCTCCAGATTCATCCATGTCCCTACAAACGACACAAACTCATCATTTCTGATTGCTGCATAATATTCCATGGTGTATATGTGCCACATTTTCCCAATCCAGTCTATTATCAATGGGCATTTGGGTTGATTCCAGGTCTTTGCTATTGTAAACAGTGCTGCAATGAACATTCGTGTACATGTGTCCTTATAGTAGAACGATTTATAGTCTTTTGGATATATACCCAGTAATGGGATTGCTGGGTCAAATGCGATTTCTATTTCTAAGGCCTTGAGGAATGGCCACACTGTCTTCCACAATGGTTGAACTAATTTACACTCCCACCAACAGTGTAAAAGTGTTCCTTTTTCTCCACATCCTCTCCAGCATCTGTTGTCTCCAGATTTTTTAATGATCGCCATTCTAACTGGCGTGAGATGGTATCTCAATGTGGTTTTGATTTGCATCTCTCTGATGACCAGTGACGATGAGCATTTTTTCATATGATTGTTGGCCTCATATATGTCTTCTTTCGTAAAGTATCTGTTCATATCCTTTGCCCACTTTTGAATGGGCTTGTTTGTTTTTTTCCTGTAAATCTGTTTGAGTTCTTTGTAAATTCTGGATATCAGCCCTTTGTCAGATGGGTAGACTGCGAAAATTTTTTCCCATTCTGTTGGTTGCCGATCCACTCTAGTGACTGTTTCTTTTGCCGTGCAGAAGCTGTGGAGTTTCATTAGGTCCCATTTGTCTATTTTGGCTTTTGTTGCCAATGCTTTTGGTGTTTTGTTCATGAAGTCCTTGCCTACTCCTATGTCCTGGATAGTTTTGCCTAGATTTCCTTCTAGGGTTTTTATGGTGCCAGGTCTTATGTTTAAGTCTTTAATCCATCTGGAGTTAATTTTAGTGTAAGGTGTCAGGAAGGGGTCCAGTTTCTGCTTTCTGCACATGGCTAGCCAGTTTTCCCAACACCATTTGTTAAACATGGAATCCTTGCCCCATTGCTTGTTTTTGTCAGGTTTATCAAAGATTGTATAGTTGTATGTATGTTGTGTTGCCTCCGGTGCCTCTGTTTTGTTCCATTGGTCTATATCTCTGTTTTGGTACCAGTACCATGCTGTTTTGATTACTGTAGCCTTGTAGTATAGTTTGAAATCCGGTAGTGTGATGTCCCCCGCTGTGTTCTTTTTGCTTAGAATTGACTTGGCTATGCGGGCTCTCTTTTGGTTCCATATGAAGTTCATGGTGGTTTTTTCCAGTTCTGTGAAGAAAGTCAATGGTAGCTTGATGGGGATAGCGTTGATTCTGTAAATTACTTTGGGCAGTATAGCCATTTTCACGATATTAATTCTTCCTAACCATGAACATGGAATGTTTCTCCATCTGTTTGTGTCCTCTCTGATTTCGTTGAGCAGTGGTTTGTAGTTCTCCTTGAAGAGGTCCCTTACGTTCCTTGTGAGTTGTATTCCAAGTTATTTTATTCTTTTTGTAGCAATTGCGAATGGAAGTTCGCTCTTGATTTGGCTTTCTTTAAGTCTGTTACTGGTGTATACGAATGCTTGTGATTTTTGCACGTTGATTTTATATCCTGAGACTTTGCTGAAGTTGTTTATCAGTTTCAGGAGTTTTTGGGCTGAGGCAATGGGGTCTTCTAGGTATACTATCATGTCGTCTGCAAATAGAGACAATTTGGCTTCCACCTTTCCTATTTGAATACCCTTTATTTCTTTTTCTTGCCTGATTGCTCTGGCTAGAACTTCCAGTACTATATTAAATAGGAGTGGTGAGAGAGGGCATCCTTGTCTAGTGCCAGATTTCAAAGGGAATGCTTCCAGTTTTTGCCCATTCAGTATGATATTGGCTGTTGGTTTGTCATAAATAGCTTTTATTACTTTGAGATACGTTCCATCGATACCGAGTTTATTGAGGGTTTTTAGCATAAAGGGCTGTTGAATTTTGTCAAATGCCTTCTCTGCGTCAATTGAGGTAATCATGTGGTTTTTGTTTTGGGTTCTGTTTATGTGGTGAATTACGTTGATAGACTTGCATATGTTGAACCAGCCTTGCATCCCCGGGATGAATCCTACTTGATCATGATGAATAAGTTTTTTGATTTGCTGTTGCAATCGGCTTGCCAATATTTTATTGAAGATTTTTGCATCTATGTTCATCATGGATATTGGCCTGAAGTTTTCTTTTCTCGTTGGGTCTCTGCCGGGTTTTGGTATTAGGATGATGTTGGTCTCATAAAATGATTTGGGAAGGATTCCCTCTTTTTGGATTGTTTGAAATAGTTTTAGAAGGAATGGTACCAGCTCCTCCTTGTGTGTCTGGTAGAATTCGGCTGTGAACCCGTCTGGACCTGGGCTTTTTTTGTGTGGTAGGCTCTTAATTGCTGCCTCAACTTCAGACCTTGTTATTGGTCTATTCATAGTTTCAGCTTCCTCCTGGTTTAGGCTTGGAAGGACACAGGAGTCCAGGAATTTATCCATTTCTTCCAGGTTTACTAGTTTATGCGCATATAGTTGTTTGTAATATTCTCTGATGATGGTTTGAATTTCTGTGGAATCTGTGGTGATTTCCCCTTTATCATTTTTTATTGCATCTATTTGGTTGTTCTCTCTTTTCTTTTTAATCAATCTGGCTAGTGGTCTGTCTATTTTGTTGATCTTTTAAAAAAACCAGCTCTTGGATTTATTGATTTTTTGAAGGGTTTTTCGTGTCAATCTCCTTCAGCTCAGCTCTGATCTTAGTAATTTCTTGTCTTCTGCTGGGTTTTGAGTTTTTTTGATCTTGCTCCTCTAGCTCTTTCAATTTTGACGATAGGGTGTCAATTTTGGATCTCTCCATTCTCCTCATATGGGCACTTATTGCTATATACTTTCCTCTAGAGACTGCTTTAAATGTGTCCCAGAGGTTCTGGCACGTTGTGTCTTCGTTCTCATTGGTTTCGAAGAACTTCTTTATTTCTGCCTTCATTTTGTTGTTTACCCAGTCAACATTCAAGAGCCAGTTGTTCAGTTTCCATGAAGCTGTGCGGTTCTGGGTCAGTTTCTGAATTCTGAGTTCTAACTTGATTGCACTATGGTCTGAGAGGCTGTTTGTTATGATTTCAGTTGTTTTGCATTTGTTGAGCAGTGCTTTACTTCCAATTATGTGGTCAATTTTAGAGTAGGTGTGATGTGGTGCTGAGAAGAATGTGTATTCTGTGGATTTGGGGTGGAGAGTTCTGTAAATGTCCACCAGGTTTGCTTGCTCCAGGTCTGAGTTCAAGCCCTGGGTATCCTTGTTGATTTTCTGTCTGGTTGATCTGTCTAGTATTGACAGTGGAGTGTTAAAGTCTCCCACTATTATTGTGTGGGAGTCTAAGTCCTTTTGTAAGTCCTTAAGAACTTGCCTTATGTATCTGGGTGCTCCTGTGTTGGGTCCATATATGTTTAGGATCGTTAGCTCTTCTTGTTGTATCGATCCTTTTACCATTATGTAATGGCCTTCTTTGTCTCTTTTGATCTTTGTTGCTTTAAAGTCTATTTTATCAGAGATGAGAATTGCAACTCCTGCTTTTTTTTGCTTTCCATTTGCTTGGTAAATCTTCCTCCATCCCTTTATTTTGAGCCTTTGTGTATCCTTGCATGTGAGATGGGTTTCCTGGATACAGCACACTGATGGGTTTTGGATTTTTATCCAATTTGCCAGTCTGTGTCTTTTGATTGGTGCATTTAGTCCATTTACATTTAGGGTTAATATTGTTATGTGTGAATTTGATACTGCCATTTTGATGCTAAGTGGCTGTTTTGCCTGTTAGTTGTAGATTCTTCATTATGTTGAAGCTCTTTAGCATTCAGTGTGATTTTGGAATGGCTGGTACTGATTGATCCTTTCTATGTGTAGTGCCTCTTTTAGGAGCTCTTGTAAAGCAGGCCTGGTGGTGACAAAATCTCTGAGTACTTGCTTGTTCGCAAAGGATTTTATTCTTCCTTCACTTCTGAAGCTCAGTTTGGCTGGATATGAAATTCTGGGTTGAAAGTTCTTTTCTTTAAGAATGTTGAATATTGGCCCCCACTCTCTTCTGGCTTGTAGTGTTTCTGCCGAGAGATCTGCTGTGAGTCTGATGGGCTTCCCTTCGTGGGTGACCCGACCTTTCTCTCTGGCTGCCCTTAGTATTCTCTCCTTTATTTCAACCCTGTTGAATCTGACGATTATGTGCCTTGGGGTTGCTCTTCTTGCGGAATATCTTTGTGGTGTTCTCTGTATTTCCTGCAATTGAGTGTTGGCTTGTCTTGCTAGGTGGGGGAAATTTTCCTGGATGATGTCCTGAAGAGTATTTTCCAGCTTGGATTCATTCTCTTCGTCCCCTTCTGGTACACCTATCAAACGTAGGTTAGGTCTTTTCACATAGTCCCACATTTCTTGGAGACTTTGTTCATTCCTTTTTGCGCTTTTTTCTCTGATCTTGGTTTCTCGTTTTATTTCATTGAGTTGGTCTTCGACTTCAGATATTCTTTCTTCTGCTTGGTCAATTCGGCTATTGAAACTTGTGTTTGCTTCGCGAAGTTCTCGTATTGTGTTTTTCAGCTCCTTTAATTCATTCATATTCCTCTCTAAGGTATCCATTCTTGTTATCATTTCCTCGAATCTTTTTTCAAATCTTTTTTCAAGGTTCTTAGTTTCTTTGCATTGATTTAATACATGATCTTTTAGCTCACAAAAGTTTCTCATTATCCATCTTCTGAAGTCTAATTCCGTCATTTCGTCACAGTCATTCTCCGTCCAGCTTTGCTCCCTTGCTGGTGAGGAGTTTTGGTCCTTTCTAGGAGGCGAGGTGTTCTGGTTTCGGGTGTTTTCCTCCTTTTTGCGCTGGTTTCTTCCCATCTTTGTGGATTTGTCCGCTGGTCGTCTGCGTAGTTGCTGACTTTTCGTTTGGGTCTCTGAGTGGACACCCAGAATGCTGATGATGAAGTATTTCTGTTGCTTGGTTTTCCTTCTACCAGTCTAGCCCCTTCGCTGTACGACTGCTGAGGTCCGCTCCAGACCCTGCTTGTCTGGGGTGCACCTCTAGTAGCTGTGGCACAGCGAGGGATGCTACCAGTTTCTTTTTCTGCTCTCTTTGTCCCAGGATGATGCCTGCCTAATGTCAGTCTTTTGGATATAGAGGGGTCAGGGAGCTGCTTGAGGAGACAGTTTGTACTTTATAGGGGTTTAATTGCTGAGCTGTGCACTCTGTTGTTCATTCAGGGCTGTTATGCTGCTATGTTTGATTCTGCTGCAACAGAGCTCATTAAAAAACCCTTTTTTTTTTTTTTCTCAAATGCTCTGTGTTGAGGGGTTTGGGCTTTATTTTTCGATGTCCGATCAGGTGTCCTGCCCAGCTAGAAGGCGGACTAGCCACTGTTTGGCTGCCGAGGCTCCGCCCTGCTGTTGTGTGATTCGCGCTGTTCCTGCCGGCTCTGCTGTGGTCTCCGCCACGCCCTGCGGCGGAGTCTCTTCGTTGTAGCGTGTTGCCTCAGCAACGGCAGGCTGCGTCAGCAGTGGGCGTGTATCTCAGTAGGGACAGGTTGCCTCGGCAACGGCTGGCTGCGTCAGCAATGGGCGTGTATCTCAGTTGGGGCGGGTTGCCTCGGTAGTGGTGGACGCCCCTCCCCCACAGAGCGTCTCAGACCGTCTGCTCGGGATAGTTTGAAATCGCGGTTTTTTTCATCCCACTGGGTATCCCAATCCCTGCAATCCCCTGGGCTGGCCTACTGTCCAAGTCTCATTCAGTCTCAAGTCCAGCCCTCTCAAGTCTCAGGTTGCCGGTTCAACAGGGCACCCGGACAAGCGCGCCCTGTGGGGATTGCTGGGTAGGGCCGGCCGCCACCGCCCCGGCTGCCGGCTTCGCCAGGCAAACCTACTGCCTGGCGTCCCGTGTCTTTTTTATACTTGGGAGTTTCCCCGTTCTGTGGGCAACAAAGATCAGTCTGGAAATGCCACTCTGACTCACCGTTTACGGATTCAACGAGAAGAGCTCCAATCCTGGGTTATTCTCACAGCGCCATCTTGAGTCCCTCTGCTAATCATCTTAAAGTAGCTGTTAGTAATAATAAAAAGTGTACCCTGTATTCGTAGTTCTTTCACTTTAACCTAGATATTTACCCTGACATGCCTGGACAAGCCCAGGCAAGTCTTAGGTCATAGCTTATTCCCCTTCTTTATTTGGAAACGTTGCTTCTCTAAACATTCCTCAGGTCACTCCCTCTTTGCCTTTGTTCTCCTCTGCGTTTACCCCTTTAGGAAAGTTTTTAGTTGCTAGGCAATGGGGTGCTGCCTAGACTATGAAGTCCAGTTCCAGCCAGTGGAATCAGAACACAGCAGTAGGGTGGATACGTTAGATATAAATGGCCCTGCCTCCTTTGTTCGGTGTCCTCTCGTGGCAAGATGGCTAATAGGGACACCCTTTCTGCAGAAAGTAAAGTTGCCTTGCTGAGAAAAATTAAATTTATATTTGCGTGCTACTTCTTTTGTAGCACCGAAAATTTACATAACAACAATATGGGGGTTCATCTGGGATTGCCATTCCCCTCTGGGTGGTCTCCGGTCCTCTCTCGAGAGGAGGTGCCCCACTGCCTCTTTGCGGCAGCCTCGGGGGTAGAGATCTGGGACCCACCTGGTGTGAGGAGTATACCTGGATTCTCGGGAACACAGGGAAAAGAGACTCCAAACCGCAGCAACCAGGGGCCTCGACCAGCCAACCTCGTGCATTAGCCAAGGTCGGAAATGTTGCCAAGGGGCAACAAAGTACCTTCTTGGTGGTCAACTTCCGAAGAGTTGAATGTGTGTGTGTGAATGCGGTATTTTTTGTGTGAATGGTGACAGGTTCTACTTCTGGACGGAACTTCAGGCAGTTCTATGGCTACCTCATATAGCTTTGGACACATCCTGCCGTGGGAATTATGCCGTCACGCTGAAGCTAAGAGAGCCCTAAATCTCCTTTGGGGGAGCGGTCAAGTGGGATGGTACAAATGACAAGAGCGCAGGGGACCTATAGAAGGGGGAAGGGAAAATACAGGTCAACCACCTAGGGCTCCCCCAGGTGCTCTGTCACGGGGAGTCGGGGCTTTATTTATAAGTTTCTGTCATGCCGCTGCCTTTTTTCAGGGCTGCCCTGCCCAGCGAGGAGACAGCCTAGTCACAGTCTGCCTGCAGAGGCTTTGCTGAGCTGCTGTGGGCTCCGCCCAACTGCCGTGTAATCTTCCCTGCAGCCCTGTCTATAGGGGTATAGTTAGAACCGCCTCGGCAATTGCGGGCCGTCTCTGTAATGGCGGGCTGCCTCGGCAATGGCGGGCTGCCTCAGCAACGGCAGACACTACCTCGGTAGTGGTAGACTGCCTCGGTAATGGTGAACACCCCTCTCCCACAGAGCTGGACCTTCCGGGTTTCAGATGTGCTTGCTGTGAAACACTCAATCCAGAGCGTATCAGATTGCTCTTTTTTGTGGGGGTGGAACCAGCCGAGCCTGATCACCTGGCTCCCTGCCTCAGACCCCCGCCTTTTCTTTTTTTTCAGCTGAACGGGTGACTGTCTCCCAGGCGTCCCAGTCACCAGTTGAAACGGCGCCCGGATTTGTTTGATTTCTTGTGCGTAGATGCGCTGCGCCGGCTGAAACAGCCACTGGAGACTTGTGGCGTGTTTTCAACAGGGAATCCCCTGGCCTAGCTCCCCGTTTCAGTCCCCCGTTCTTCAGTTGATCGGGCAACTCTGTCTTCGAGGTGTTCTAGTCGCCAGTTGAAACGGCGCCCGGATTTGTGTGCGATTTTGTGCAGAGAACCGTTGGGCCAGCTGAAACAGCCTCACTGGGGGCTCGTGGTGCTTTTTCGCCCGGGAATCTCCTGGCCTGGCTGCCTGTTTCAGTCCCTTTTTTCAGTTGAACGGGCAACTCTATCTCCCAGGCTTTCCAGTCGCCCGTTGTGAAGGTGCCTGGATCTGTGTGTTTTCCCGAGCGGCGACCCCCAGCACCGGGTGAAACAGCCACACTGGCGATTTGTGGCACTTTTTCTCCCGGGAATCTCCTGGCCTGGCTCCACGTTTCAGTCCCCTTTTAGTCAGTTGAATGGGCGACTGTCTCCCAGGCGTTCCAGTCGCCTGTTGAAAAGGCGCCGGGATCTGTGTGATTTCCCATGCAGCAACCCACTGCGCTAGCTGAAACAGCCGCACAGAGATTGTTTTCACTTTTTTGCCCGGGAATCTCCTGGCCTGGCTCCCTGTTTCAGTCCCCTTTTTATCAGTTGAATGGGCGACTCTGCCTTTCAGGAGCTCCAATCACCAGCTAAGACGGCGCCCGGACCAATGTATTTTGTGCAGAGATCCGCCACGCCAGCCAAAACAGCCATGCTGGCAACCCGTGGGGCTCCTCTGCCTGGAAATCTCCTGGTCTGTGGGCAGTAAAAATCCATGTGGAAATGCAGTGTCCACTCACCCGCCGCGCTTTTGCTGTAAGCTGCAGTCCTGAGCTGCTCCTAATCAGCCATCTTGGATCCTCCCCGAGCCTTCTTTACAATGTACTCAGCAATGGCAAGTTTCAAAATGTTGTTATTGTCTTTTGGAGTTACTGCTTTGCCTTTCTTTACCTGAGATAGTTAAGTGTGCTTGCCATTAGAGAATTGCTGGAGCAGTAATCGACACTTGAGATTTTGCAAGGGTTCCCAAGTATTTGTAGAACCTGGCCATCCTTTCCATTTTACAAGATAACGTTGTATATCCTTTACTACCTTGTAGTCACACAAGTATTTCACCTCATAATCGTTTAGATTCCTTTTGGTGATTCCAATCAATGTACATGTGAGCTTTCCTTTTCTACATAATTCCTGAAGAGTATCAAGCGACACTAGTCAAGGCATACACGAAGCTCCTTGTGCCTCAGCCCCAGCTGCTGCCATGTTGTGGAGCTTTCGTTCAAACTCAAGCCTGGAAACTAATTGATAGGCTGTAATACTCTGTTTTTAATTATTCCAGTTAAACTTGTTCACTTGACTTAGAACTTTCCTGCTTATACACATCAAGTAAGAATTTAGCAGGCTTCTTGTTTCACTTCTAGGAACCTATGATCAACTAGCCATTGCCATAGGTCCCATAGGTCTGTGTGAGTCAGACTATTCTGATTGCTGCCTGGACTCTGCTGTCCATTACAGTAACCATGTTCATTTTGCCTTTGGCTGATGATTGCCATTTCTTGGCCTCTGACACCCCAGGATCCAGTTACTCCCATTGCATTTAGGTTAATCCCCTGGGAAGAGGGTGAAGAGGCCACTTCTGCTAGGGTTGGGGAGGCTGCTTCCACTGGTAGAAAAGATTCATTAAAATTACACTTGATCTTAGTCAAAAGGCAGAAAAGCGATGAAAAGATTCATTAAATTTAGGGGTTCAATGTCCCCCACTTCCCTAGGGTGTTCCCATATATCCCATTCCAACTCTGGATCTCATTCCTTCCCAACCAATGCCCTGTCTTTGCAGTAGACATCCTGTGAGGCTGGGAGTTCAACTTGCATTTTTTTTTTTTTTTTGAAACAGGGTCTCTGGTTGCCCAGACTGGAGTGTAATGGCATGATCTCAGCTCACTGCAGCCTCAACCTCCCAGGCTCAGGTGTTTCTCCCACTTCAGCCTCCCAAATAACTGGGATTCCAGGTGCACACCACCACGTCCAGCTAATTTTTTGTATATTTAGTAGAAACAGTGTTTCACTGTGTTGCCCAGGCTGGTCTTGAACTCCTGGACTCATGCATTCCACCCACCTCAGCCTCTGAGATTGCTGGGATTACAGGCCTGAGCCACTCAGCCTGGCCTCAACTTGCATTTTAATTCAGCCGATTGAGGGATGAGATTCTGTGTTCGAGTTTTAACAATCTCAGCCCTGTAAGAGATAAGGTTCTCCTTCAGGACGTACGTAGACACTTTCAGATTATTTATGCAGTGCTCGAGCTGGAAATTCAGTTCCCTGAGATCATCCTTTTCTTTCCCTACTTCATCCAGTGACGTTTGGAGCAGCCATCCAATCTCATTGTATTTATTAGTTTGACAGAAATGTTCAAATCATACATATGCAGGTCCTTGTGTCTCGCAAGTCGTAGATTAGGAGTGTCCCATGGTGACATTTCGTGGATCTCAATTGCCAGTTCATGCCATGAACGAACCAGTAACCAATAGGATGTCTATATCTATGGATAGAGATTGGTTTATTATAAAGAATTAGCTCATGCAATTATGGAGACTGACAAGCCCCAAGATCCGCAAGGTGATTCAGCAAAGTGGAGACGTAGAGAGTCGGTGGTGTAGCTCCGGTCCAAAGGCCAGCTTGAGGCCTGGGAAGAGCCAGTGTTTCAGTGCAAGTGTTAAGGTAGGGAAAAGCTAATGTTGCAGTTTAAATGCAATCAGGAAGAAAGAGTCCTTCCTTACTGAGGGGAGGGTTAGTCTTTTTATCTATGCAGGCCTTCAGCTGGTTGGATAGGACCCACCCATATCATGGAGGACAATCTGCTTTTCTCAGCCTACAAATTTAAATGTTAATTTAGCTAACATTTAAATTCCATCCAGAGATGGAGTCCGCACGGGTAAGGGGCAGGGAGACTTTTAATTTGGGAGTTACTCCCGCCCCATTCAAGTTCTTGTCCCGTGAGAGGAGTTTCCTCAAACTTCCTCTGGAGTGATTGATCTTTGACTTTGGTACCTGATTGGCTGCCCGGCTCGCAATAGAGCCCCTCCTTCCAAGGCTTTTGGTGGGCTTTCTAAACGTAGGAAGCTCACCTGGGTGGTCCACCTTTCCCACGCACACAAAAGTTAGACCAAGAACTCTAGTTCCCGGATGGGGAGGTGAGTGGAGGTATGGCGCTGGGAAGTTCTTGCCTTTGAAACCATGCCCCTTGTGGACCCGGGAAGAGAAGTTAACACAGTACTTCAGTAGCATGCCTGTAGCAGAAGCTACTTGGGAGGCTGAGATGGGAGGATCAGTGTAGGAAATAAGAATAAATAAAAGGTTCCTCTTCAAAGATTTCCTCTTAGTTCATTATGAATAAATAATGGTTTCTTCAAAGGTTAATTTACTTTAAAGCTTCTGCTAATAATCTTAAAGTAGCTGTTAGTCATAATAAAAAGTGTACCCTGTATTCGTAGTTCTTTCACTTTAACCTAGATATTTGCCCTGACATGCCTGGACAAGCCCAGGCAAGTCTTAGGTCATAGCTTATTCCCCTTCTTTATTTGGAAACGTTGCTTCTCTAAACATTCCTCAGGTCACTCCCTCTTTGCCTTTGTTCTCCTCTGCGTTTACCCCTTTAGGAAAGTTTTTAGTTGCTAGGCAATGGGGTGCTGCCTAGACTATGAAGTCCAGTTCCAGCCAGTGGAATCAGAACACAGCAGTAGGGTGGATACGTTAGATATAAATGGCCCTGCCTCCTTTGTTCGGTGTCCTCTCGTGGCAAGATGGCTAATAGGGACACCCTTTCTGCAGAAAGTAAAGTTGCCTTGCTGAGAAAAATTAAATTTATATTTGCGTGCTACTTCTTTTGTAGCACCGAAAATTTACATAACAACAATATGGGGGTTCATCTGGGATTGCCATTCCCCTCTGGGTGGTCTCCGGTCCTCTCTCGAGAGGAGGTGCCCCACTGCCTCTTTGCGGCAGCCTCGGGGGTAGAGATCTGGGACCCACCTGGTGTGAGGAGTATACCTGGATTCTCGGGAACACAGGGAAAAGAGACTCCAAACCGCAGCAACCAGGGGCCTCGACCAGCCAACCTCGTGCATTAGCCAAGGTCGGAAATGTTGCCAAGGGGCAACAAAGTACCTTCTTGGTGGTCAACTTCCGAAGAGTTGAATGTGTGTGTGTGAATGCGGTATTTTTTGTGTGAATGGTGACAGGTTCTACTTCTGGACGGAACTTCAGGCAGTTCTATGGCTACCTCATATAGCTTTGGACACATCCTGCCGTGGGAATTATGCCGTCACGCTGAAGCTAAGAGAGCCCTAAATCTCCTTTGGGGGAGCGGTCAAGTGGGATGGTACAAATGACAAGAGCGCAGGGGACCTATAGAAGGGGGAAGGGAAAATACAGGTCAACCACCTAGGGCTCCCCCAGGTGCTCTGTCACGGGGAGTCGGGGCTTTATTTATAAGTTTCTGTCATGCCGCTGCCTTTTTTCAGGGCTGCCCTGCCCAGCGAGGAGACAGCCTAGTCACAGTCTGCCTGCAGAGGCTTTGCTGAGCTGCTGTGGGCTCCGCCCAACTGCCGTGTAATCTTCCCTGCAGCCCTGTCTATAGGGGTATAGTTAGAACCGCCTCGGCAATTGCGGGCCGTCTCTGTAATGGCGGGCTGCCTCGGCAATGGCGGGCTGCCTCAGCAACGGCAGACACTACCTCGGTAGTGGTAGACTGCCTCGGTAATGGTGAACACCCCTCTCCCACAGAGCTGGACCTTCCGGGTTTCAGATGTGCTTGCTGTGAAACACTCAATCCAGAGCGTATCAGATTGCTCTTTTTTGTGGGGGTGGAACCAGCCGAGCCTGATCACCTGGCTCCCTGCCTCAGACCCCCGCCTTTTCTTTTTTTTCAGCTGAACGGGTGACTGTCTCCCAGGCGTCCCAGTCACCAGTTGAAACGGCGCCCGGATTTGTTTGATTTCTTGTGCGTAGATGCGCTGCGCCGGCTGAAACAGCCACTGGAGACTTGTGGCGTGTTTTCAACAGGGAATCCCCTGGCCTAGCTCCCCGTTTCAGTCCCCCGTTCTTCAGTTGATCGGGCAACTCTGTCTTCGAGGTGTTCTAGTCGCCAGTTGAAACGGCGCCCGGATTTGTGTGCGATTTTGTGCAGAGAACCGTTGGGCCAGCTGAAACAGCCTCACTGGGGGCTCGTGGTGCTTTTTCGCCCGGGAATCTCCTGGCCTGGCTGCCTGTTTCAGTCCCTTTTTTCAGTTGAACGGGCAACTCTATCTCCCAGGCTTTCCAGTCGCCCGTTGTGAAGGTGCCTGGATCTGTGTGTTTTCCCGAGCGGCGACCCCCAGCACCGGGTGAAACAGCCACACTGGCGATTTGTGGCACTTTTTCTCCCGGGAATCTCCTGGCCTGGCTCCACGTTTCAGTCCCCTTTTAGTCAGTTGAATGGGCGACTGTCTCCCAGGCGTTCCAGTCGCCTGTTGAAAAGGCGCCGGGATCTGTGTGATTTCCCGTGCAGCAACCCACTGCGCTAGCTGAAACAGCCGCACAGAGATTGTTTTCACTTTTTTGCCCGGGAATCTCCTGGCCTGGCTCCCTGTTTCAGTCCCCTTTTTATCAGTTGAATGGGCGACTCTGCCTTTCAGGAGCTCCAATCACCAGCTAAGACGGCGCCCGGACCAATGTATTTTGTGCAGAGATCCGCCACGCCAGCCAAAACAGCCATGCTGGCAACCCGTGGGGCTCCTCTGCCTGGAAATCTCCTGGTCTGTGGGCAGTAAAAATCCATGTGGAAATGCAGTGTCCACTCACCCGCCGCGCTTTTGCTGTAAGCTGCAGTCCTGAGCTGCTCCTAATCAGCCATCTTGGATCCTCCCCGAGCCTTCTTTACAATGTACTCAGCAATGGCAAGTTTCAAAATGTTGTTATTGTCTTTTGGAGTTACTGCTTTGCCTTTCTTTACCTGAGATAGTTAAGTGTGCTTGCCATTAGAGAATTGCTGGAGCAGTAATCGACACTTGAGATTTTGCAAGGGTTCCCAAGTATTTGTAGAACCTGGCCATCCTTTCCATTTTACAAGATAACGTTGTATATCCTTTACTACCTTGTAGTCACACAAGTATTTCACCTCATAATCGTTTAGATTCCTTTTGGTGATTCCAATCAATGTACATGTGAGCTTTCCTTTTCTACATAATTCCTGAAGAGTATCAAGCGACACTAGTCAAGGCATACACGAAGCTCCTTGTGCCTCAGCCCCAGCTGCTGCCATGTTGTGGAGCTTTCGTTCAAACTCAAGCCTGGAAACTAATTGATAGGCTGTAATACTCTGTTTTTAATTATTCCAGTTAAACTTGTTCACTTGACTTAGAACTTTCCTGCTTATACACATCAAGTAAGAATTTAGCAGGCTTCTTGTTTCACTTCTAGGAACCTATGATCAACTAGCCATTGCCATAGGTCCCATAGGTCTGTGTGAGTCAGACTATTCTGATTGCTGCCTGGACTCTGCTGTCCATTACAGTAACCATGTTCATTTTGCCTTTGGCTGATGATTGCCATTTCTTGGCCTCTGACACCCCAGGATCCAGTTACTCCCATTGCATTTAGGTTAATCCCCTGGGAAGAGGGTGAAGAGGCCACTTCTGCTAGGGTTGGGGAGGCTGCTTCCACTGGTAGAAAAGATTCATTAAAATTACACTTGATCTTAGTCAAAAGGCAGAAAAGCGATGAAAAGATTCATTAAAATTTAGGGGTTCAATGTCCCCCACTTCCTTAGGGTGTTCCCATATATCCCATTCCAACTCTGGATCTCATTCCTTCCCAACCAATGCCCTGTCTTTGCAGTAGACATCCTGTGAAGCTGGGAGTTCAACTTGCATTTTTTTTTTTTTTTGAAACAGGGTCTCTGGTTGCCCAGACTGGAGTGTAATGGCATGATCTCAGCTCACTGCAGCCTCAACCTCCCAGGCTCAGGTGTTTCTCCCACTTCAGCCTCCCAAATAACTGGGATTCCAGGTGCACACCACCACGTCCAGCTAATTTTTTGTATATTTAGTAGAAACAGTGTTTCACTGTGTTGCCCAGGCTGGTCTTGAACTCCTGGACTCATGCATTCCACCCACCTCAGCCTCTGAGATTGCTGGGATTACAGGCCTGAGCCACTCAGCCTGGCCTCAACTTGCATTTTAATTCAGCCGATTGAGGGATGAGATTCTGTGTTCGAGTTTTAACAATCTCAGCCCTGTAAGAGATAAGGTTCTCCTTCAGGACGTACATAGACACTTTCAGATTATTTATGCAGTGCTCGAGCTGGAAATTCAGTTCCCTGAGATCATCCTTTTCTTTCCCTACTTCATCCAGTGACGTTTGGAGCAGCCATCCAATCTCATTGTATTTATTAGTTTGACAGAAATGTTCAAATCATACATATGCAGGTCCTTGTGTCTCGCAAGTCGTAGATTAGGAGTGTCCCATGGTGACATTTCGTGGATCTCAATTGCCAGTTCATGCCATGAACGAACCAGTAACCAATAGGATGTCTATATCTATGGATAGAGATTGGTTTATTATAAAGAATTAGCTCATGCAATTATGGAGACTGACAAGCCCCAAGATCCGCAAGGTGATTCAGCAAAGTGGAGACGTAGAGAGTCGGTGGTGTAGCTCCAGTCCAAAGGCCAGCTTGAGGCCTGGGAAGAGCCAGTGTTTCAGTGCAAGTGTTAAGGTAGGGAAAAGCTAATGTTGCAGTTTAAATGCAATCAGGAAGAAAGAGTCCTTCCTTACTGAGGGGAGGGTTAGTCTTTTTATCTATGCAGGCCTTCAGCTGGTTGGATAGGACCCACCCATATCATGGAGGACAATCTGCTTTTCTCAGCCTACAAATTTAAATGTTAATTTAGCTAACATTTAAATTCCACCCAGAGATGGAGTCTGCACAGGTAAGGGGCAGGGAGACTTTTAATTTGGGAGTTACTCCCGCCCCATTCAAGTTCTTGTCCCGTGAGAGGAGTTTCCTCAAACTTCCTCTGGAGTGATTGACCTCTGACTTTGGTACCTGATTGGCTGCCCGGCTCGCAATAGAGCCCCTCCTTCCAAGGCTTTTGGTGGGCTTTCTAAACGTAGGAAGCTCACCTGGGTGGTCCACCTTTCCCACGCACACAAAAGTTAGACCAAGAACTCTAGTTCCCGGATGGGGAGGTGAGTGGAGGTATGGCGCTGGGAAGTTCTTGCCTTTGAAACCATGCCCCTTGTGGACCCGGGAAGAGAAGTTAACACAGTACCTCAGTAGCATGCCTGTAGCAGAAGCTACTTGGGAGGCTGAGATGGGAGGATCAGTGTAGGAAATAAGAATAAATAAAAGGTTCCTCTTCAAAGATTTCCTCTTAGTTCATTATGAATAAATAATGGTTTCTTCAAATGTTAATTTACTTTAAAGCGTTTGCTTATAATCTTAAAGTAGCTATTATTCTTAAAGAAAAAAAGTGTACTCTGTCTTTTTGTGTAGCAGGAGCAGCCGTGGGACAGGGATCTCTCGGACACTGAATTCAGGAAGAAGGTTTATTCAGCTGGGAGCAATGTGGCATAGTTGCCTAACAGCCAAACCTGTCTAACAAATTCAGGTTCAGCATTTATATAGGCTTATACTTTAGATGTTACACATCGAAGAGTCTTTGGTTCATAGTTTTAGGCTCACATGTGAAAAAGTTTTTGTTTACAGTTATAGGACTCACATGTGAAAAGTTTTCTGTTTACAGTCCAGGAATCACATATGCAAGGGTTCCAGTTCACAGTTTTATGACTTACATGTGAAAAGGTTTCTTGTTTTTTCTTGTTTTAATTAAAAATAATGCCTCCTGGAGAGTTTCCTCAAGGCCTAGCCTTTCGTTTTCAGGTTGGAGATTCAGGAGGCGCCAGCTGGCCTGCGCTCTTTTTTATTTAGATGCACAGTGGATTACAGAGCGGAGGGAATCCCAAATGCCTGGGTCTTCCTCATCCCCCACTTTGAGACCCTCACAATTTTATAATATTAGTGAGAGGTCTCACTTTCTTGCTCACTTTCCAGATTTTCTGAAGAAACTGATAATGTTTCATATAATATACTTGTGATGTTATTCTCGGCTAACTCCAGCAGTGATGAATCCCCTAATGATCTGAAGGAACAGGGGGAGTAGACAAGGGAGCAACAAACAAACACCTATTATTATTATAACACTGATGATGAGGGTTTTGAATCCTCCCAAGCATGAGAACCAACCTCCAAATAAGGACTCAGGGTTAAATCCGTGCCACACCTTTACAGGCACGTGTGCCAGTTTAGTCATGTCTCGCACAATATCCTCCACTGTTTGCTCCTGGTCATCTATGTGCAGACAGCAGTTGGTTAGATTGAATTTTCCATAGACTCCTCCTTCAGCTGCTAGCAAATAATCTAGGGCCAGCCAGTTCTGATAAATCACATTTCTCATTTGAGTTTTTTGTTGTTGTTATTGGGCTAAAAGGGACAGAGCTTTGCCCGTTTCCTTAGTGAGTATTTCCAAAACAACCTGCAACTGGATGATCCGGTCGAGCATGTAAATAGGGGTCTGGTATCCCCATGAGCTATCCTCTGCCCATGTAGCCGGCCCATAATACTTAATAGTTTTCTCCAGTGGCTACTTATCTGTCCGTTCTCCTATCTTTAGGTTTCTTTTGCTCTCTAGCGGAGTAGACTGAATACATTAACAGCCCACCTGTCTTAACAGATAACAGGAAAGAAGAGGGCTTAATGATGCCTATGACACAGCTGCCTGTCCATCTCATGGATTACACACCTTATATTGAGTACCGTTATATAAACAGGTTCCCTTCTGTGTCCCTGTACATTTTAAGAACTGTAGGACAAAAGAATGGCAGTGACTTTTATGCTCTACCTGGTGTACATACTGAGGGCATTCTTTAAAATTAGTTAATGCTCCTACTGTACAAGTCCAAATATAAAGAACAAGTCCCACAATTAATTTCCTCATGCTTCGGCCATGTGTGGACCAGCCAGCTTCCGGGATGTGGCTGGAGCAAGGCTTGTCATCCTTTGTAAGGTGATTCTGCAGTCCTTGCCTTGGTCCAAGTCTCAGGTTTTTACACAGCTGTGGTGGATTCAGGCTGGGATTCCCTCTACCTTCACAGCTGTGGGATTGGTCAGGATCAGGTCTGAGGTCCTTTCCATTGTGGCTTTAGAGGGACTGTACTCCTGTCCTTTATCCACACATGATTACCTAGTGAGAAAGGGTGAACTGGGGAGAAAAAGGCTTACAGAACATTTGTTATTTACTCAGGTTGAAGTATCCTAAGAGATTCTCCCTAGGGCTAGTAACTAGCATCCTAACTCAATCTCTCCTCACTCCCAAGGAGTTCCGTAGGAGTGCCCAGAGTAGGGGAGGGGGCCCATGGTATAAGACTTCATAGGGAAATATCCTGTTTTTCCTAAAGGGGGTGCCTCTAATTTTGAATAACACCAAAATGGGATTTTTTGTTTAATGGGATAGTGGCCCTCGATTTGCACAACAGGTTTTTGCCAGAGAAGTGGGGCAGGGACAATTCATTAAGTACAAGAAAGTCTGTTCTCTTAATACCTTAATTGATTTAACAACACTGGCCTCGTTCCTTTCGATGGGGGGTTACAGGGCTGTCGTTCGGACCATGGGCTCTTTGGGGGCATATGAGTCCAGCTCCCCTCTCTTTTAGTTCAGTGGCCCTTCCATTAGATTGAACAGAGCCCCTTCACACTCTGTTTGGATGAAGATTTGGATCCTCCTGCTTAGGATCGTCCTGTTCCTCAGATAATTGTGGACATTTTTTCTTCCAGCGTCCTATTTCTCAACACAATGCACACTGATCACATTGCAGGCCCGGGCGGGCAGACTGTGGGGGTTTCCAGGAACCCCCCTTTTTCCATACTCTTGGGGGTTCTGGTAATCTGCAGGAACATGCTCCTCCAGCCAATTAGAAGCGGCTTGGAGTATTCTCCGCCTTTCGTCTGTGTTAAAAAGATGCATAAGCAGCTGATGGCAATCAGCCCAAATGGGGTTATGAATCTGAATAATAGTTTGCAGTATATCAATAAGAGCTTGGGGTTTCTCGGTATTAGACGTGTTGTCATTTTTCCAATTGATAAGATCAGCCGAGGTTAACAGCAGGTACATGAAAACACGCCTTTCTACCATGTGGCCATCCTCGTCCACTCCTGTGTACCTGTGCTCTCTCAAAGGCATCTGCACCCCGGCCTTGGATTGCAGACAGGCTGCCTGCCAGAGGGGGAGTTCCCTCTGGGAAGCGGGCAGCAATGGGCGGAGTTTTTTTACATTCTGTTTTATCTGCTCTGGAGGATTTTAGGGGTGTGCTGCTCTGGTGGGGATGCTGAGGCCTCCGGCCCACGGGCAGGGAGTCCTTGAGGAGGAGGAGGCATTATCGACAAAAACTCTTCTGCCGCTGGGTTGACCAAAACCTTGGGAGCCATTGTTTCTGCCACTGAATCTGCCCGGGCCTTGGGAATCCGCTTTTCTCAGCGGCAAGGGGGATGGTGGTTTCTAGCAGTCTTTCCCTTGGCTACTAAAACAGTCGCTGCCTGCTCTCTTAGCCACTTTGGAGGGTTTAACACTAACTGCAACCACGAATCTATGTATGGAAATTGATCGAGGTGTTCTAGCTCACCGTATTTAACCTCATGCCTTACTTTCGAGACAAGGGACCTGTCTAGGGTCCCCTCTGGGGGCCAACCTACTCTAAATGGTGGCCAATCTTTCCTACATAAACCCTTAATTTCTCTGATGTCATAGTTACTTCATAATTCCCACTAAATCTTTTCTTGAAATTTTTCAGCATGGTTTCTAAAGGGGTGGAATGGCTATGGAAATGACCCATATGAACACTTCAAAGAAACAATTCTCACAGTTAGGGGAGTGTTAGTTCACTCACAGCAGTTCCCGTTCCCACCTAGCAAGGTCTCTGTTTACAGTTTCAGGAATTACATATGAAAGGGTTCCAGTTTACAGTTTTAGGACTCACATGTGAAAAGGTTTCTGGTTTGATCTTGTTTTAAGTAAAAATAGTGCCTTCTGGAGAGTTTCGTCAAGGCCTAGCCTGTTGTTTTCGGGAAGGAGATTCAGGAGGTGCCAGCTGGCCTGCCCTCTCTTTTATTGAGATGCACAGTGGATGACAGAGGGGGAGGGAATCCCCGATGCCTGGGTCTCCCTCCTCACTTAGTTCTTTCACTTTAACCTAGATATTTGCCCTGACATGCCTGGACAAGCCCAGGCAAGTCTTAGGTCATAGCTTATTCCCCTTCTTTATTTGGAAACATTGCTTCTCTAAGCATTCCTCAAGTTACTCCCTCTTTGCCTTTGTTCTCCTCTGCGTTTACCCCTTTAGGAAAGTTTTTAGTTGCTAGGCAACGGGGTGCTGCCTAGACTATGAAGTCCAGTTCCAGCCAGTGGAATCAGAACACAGCAGTAGGGTGGATACGTTAGATATAAATGGCCCTGCCTCCTTTGTTCCATGTCCTCTCATGGCAAGATGGCTAATAGGGACACCCTTTCTGCAGAAAGTAAAGTTGCCTTGCTGAGAAAAATTAAATTTATATTTGCGTGCTACTTCTTTTGTAGCACCGAAAATTTACATACAACATGGGGGTTCATCTGGGATTGCCATTCCCCTCTGGGTGGTCTCCAGTCCTCTCTCGAGAGGAGGTGCCCCACTGCCTCTTTGCGGCAGCCTCGGGGGTAGAGATCTGGGACCCACCTGGTGTGAGGAGTATACCTGGATTCTCGGGAACACAGGGAAAAGAGACTCCAAACCGCAGCAACCAGGGGCCTCGACCAGCCAACCTCGTGCATTAGCCAAGGTCGGAAATGTTGCCGAGGGGCAACAAAGTACCTTCTTGGTGGTCAACTTCCAAAGGGTTGAATGTGTGTGCAAATTAGATATTGTTTGTGTGAATGGTGACAAGTTCTACTTCTGGATGGAATGAGTGAATCCTCTCTGCAGTTCTATGGCTACCTCATACAGCTTTGGACAGATACTGCCATGGGAATTATACCGTCATGCTGACGCTAAGAGAGCCCTAAATCTCCTTTGGGGTAGCGGCCAAGTGGGATGGTAGAAATGACAAGAGCACAAAGGACCTATTGAAGGGGGAAGGGAGGAAACAGGTGAACCTCCTAGGGCAGTGAAGGCAAGAAATTTCTAGCTTGATGGGTTGAGTTTTCCATAAATGGAATAGGTGGGAGATTCCCAGCTTGGGTGGGTGTTGAGTCTTCTGTAAACAGAATAGGTGAGAGATTCTCAGCTTGGGGACTTGGGCCTTCTCTTAATGGAATAGGAAAGAGATTTCCAGCTTGGGGGGTTGAGTCTTCATAAAAATGGAATAGGCAAGAGATTCCTAGCTTGTGGAGTTGTGTCTTCCATAACAAATGATGAAAGTATTGCTGTTTTATTTGCACTAAAGAACCGATCCTCAAGCCCACAGTTGTCTGTCCAAAATTTGCGTTGGATGAGGATTAGTTCCATCAACGCTTTATAATGTATATCAACAACAAAACTCTTTCTCACAAGAAGAAATAGACTATGCTCTCTGTTGGTGGCAGAGGCCAGTTCTCCTCTACCCATTAAGAGGAGGAAGAAAATAAAGTCAGGAGCAGGCTCACCTGAAAAGGGTGGAGTTTTACCTGTGAGCAGTTCATGTAAATGGGACCTTTTAGACCATCTTCCCTTGTTTCCGGCTCCAGCTCCTGTTCCCACCATTTCCATGGCACTGCTGCCTCCTCTCTAAGCAGTAACTGCTGCCCCTGAACCCAACCCAGAATTTCCTACTCCCCCATACAACCTAGGCTCTTCGGAGCTAGCATCTCAAAGGCCTGATCATTGCCAGCCTGAGTGTTCTTTCTTGAATAAAGGGCTCCAGAGGAAGATAGAGCAATGCAAAAGAGATATTCAAAGTTTTTCTTTCCCATCTTCCAAGGAATCAGCTTCAGCTTCAAAGCTTTTTTTTTTTTCCTCTAAAGAAGATGCCTCACACAGGAGGTGCGGTTAGTTTTGTGAAGCCTCAAGGAGGCATGGTTGGTTTTGTGAATACTCCCTTAACTGCTTCTAAGGACCGGGGTCTAAAGAGAGAACTTAAGCCATTATTAGATGACCCTGATGGGGTAGCAGAACAGATTGATCTGTTTTTAGGTTCCCAGTTATATACTTAGACCGAGTTAATGTCCATTCTAAGTATTCTCTTTTCAAGGGAAGAAACAGTAGATGTGGAGAGCCAAAGAGAGAGAGAGAGACAGAGTCAAAGGGGGAGAGAGAGAGGTAGAGAGAGAAAGAGAGAAGGAGAGACAAAGGAGAGAGATTAGGAAGAAGAGAAAGAAATATTAAGAAAATTATAGGTATAAGAATGCACCCTTATCTCCAGGTGGATAGTGTCAGAATAAAAAAGAAAAAAAAGAATGCACCTTTTAGCAAGGCATAGTGGCATACACCTGTAGTCCCAGCTAATCGGAAGGCTGAGGCAGGAGAATTGCTTGAACCTGGGAGGCAGGGGTTGCAGTGAGCTGAGATTATGCCACTGCACCACTCCAGACTGGAGACAGAGCAAGACTCCATCTCAAAAAAAAAAAAAAAAAAAAAAAAAAAAAAAAATTCACCTTTAGAGGAAAGTTATAAAACAAAGAAAGTTAAGATTGTCAGGCCAGGTGTGGTGACTCAGGCCTGTAATCCTAGCACTTTGGGAGGTCAAGGTGAGTGGATCACCTCAGGTCAGGAGTTGAAGACCACCCTGACCATCGTGATAAAACCCCATCTTCTAAAAAAAATTTTTTTTTAATTTAAAAAAAGAAAGATTGTCTATGATAGTTGTGAAAAATGTTATAAAAAGGAATTTATGCAAGAAATGCATAATTTTTGTTTTGAAACTTTAAACTAGTTTTGAAATGTTTATTATTGTAAAGAAAATTCTGGTGTAAACATGTTGGCTAAAGTTGAACAGGTATCATCCAGTTTTTCTGTAAACTGAACATTGAAATAAAAGCACAACAGGTTTTTCTTAAAGCACTAACCTGCTCTTTAACAAAGATTTTAAAAGGTCTCTTAGTACAGGCACCACTCCAAGAATTTCCAGTACACCAGCACCAGCCTGGAGACCAACCTACCTCGTGCTGCTAACCACCGAGACTACCATTTGTACAGCAGAAAAAAGATGGACACATCATACCTGAGTCAAGAAAGTGCCATCACTGTTAGAATCATGGACATTGTTCCAGGATCAGACCCTACCAAGTTAAAGCTAAGAAAAGCTTAGTCTATCTTTTCTTCTTTTTAGCTACTCCCCATCTTATTGTTAATATAAATAGATCTAACTCACCTCAAGTTATTACTTTTGATGCCTGTTTAGTTATACCTTCTGGAGATTTACATGACAGCTTACTACTTCAGAAAAAAAATATCTCTGTCCCTCTTAGACTTCCTCAGATTAGAAAGACATAATGAGTTCCTCTAAGGATACTAGTAATCCAAGGAATAGTAGCTGTATTAATTGGTAGGAATCAGACTCTTGTCCCTCTAAAACAGAGTATCTGTGCTCTGCTTAATCTAATGTCATATGGAACACTAAAGGTTTAGGATAGACCTGCTTCCACAGGCTTTTGAGAGTCCTTAAAATCATATATCCATTTCACCAAAGGAATTATTCCTTCTAGGTATTCCATATATTGAATTTTTCCTTCAATATAACCAATATAATTCTATACAGCTTACTATTGTTATTGCAACATCTGAAAACTCATCCCCTTCATTAAGTCATATTTATGATATAGGAGCTGACATTTCAGGAAAGAAGAAATTTTTGAAATGTGCTTTATTGCTCCTTCAACCTCTTTATCAATCACTCCTCCTAGACACAATGACAAACCCAAGCTCTCAGTGGTAGAAATAGAGGACCTAAGGCAAACCGTAGCCATTGAAAGAGGATATAAAGATGCAAATGCCTGGTTAGAATGGATTAACTATTTTGTTCGCACCTTAAAGAAATGCAACTGTTATGCTTGTGCGTACTGGTAGGCCAGAGGCCCTTTCCACTTGGATGGTCCTCAAATCAAGCAGACATGGAATATATGGTAGCTCTTTTTCAAGATTTTATTGCTTGGAATAATGAATTGTGCCAAGTTATTTTGCTGCTATTTCCTGAGGTTCAGTATCCTGTGGGTCAGCACCCAAGGGCCATGCAGCCTCTATCTCCCAAGGTGAAGTTCGCCTCGTGTCTTTCATGACAGGGGGAGAACTTAGTGTTCCTTGGAAACTTAACAGGATGCAGTTGAAATTAGGCACTTCCAAGAGCTGGCTCATCAGTCCATCCTTACTCATCCCCGAGCAAATGCATGGTGGTATTGTGGAGGACCTTTACTGGACACTCTGCCAAATAATTGGAGCAGCACTTGCACTCTAATGCAATTTGCTATCCCTTTTACCCTGGCATTTCATCAACCAGAAAAAGAGAAAATATGACATTTGCGAACGAAAGAAGCTTCTTATAGGTCCTTTGATTCCCATGTCTATCTAAATGCAATTGGAGTTCCTCGAGGAGTACTAGATAAATTTACAGCCTGAGATCAGATAGCTGCAAGATTTGAGCCAATGTTGTTTTTGTAGGTAACAATAAGAATTTAGATTGAATAAACTACATTTATTACAACCAACAGCGGTTTGTTATCTATACTAAAAATGCTGTCAAAAGAATAACTGAACAATTAAGATCCACTAGCCAAATGTCCTAGGAAAACAGAATAGCCCTAGATATGATATTAGTAGAGAAAGGGGGTGTTTGTGTTATTATTAAAACCCAGTGTTGTGCCGTTATTCCAAACAACACTGCTTCTGATGAGACCATAACAAAAGCCCTCCAAGGACTTACTGCTTTATCAAATGAGCTAGCTAAAAATTCTGGCATCAATAACCCTATTCAAATTGACTTACAAGATGGTTCAGTCAATGGAAGGAAACCATAACCTCAATTCTTACCTCTCTAGCAACTGTGATAAGTATACTGCTTCTTGTTAGATGTTGTATCATACCATGCATCCAAGGACTTGTGCAGAGGCTAGTAAACACAACTCTTACTAAAATATCCCCAACCCCTCCTGTACCCTATTGAGATAGATTATTTCTTTTAGAAGAACAAACAAAACAACTGAGTCAAGATATGTTAAATAAGTTTGAAGAGGAACTATAAAATAGAAAAAGGGAAGAATTATAGGAAATAATAAAATGCTCCTCTTCAAAGCTTTCCTCAGTTCATTACAAATAAATAATAGTTTTTTCAAAGATTAATTTACTTTAAAGCTTCTGCTAATAATCTTAAAGTAGCTGTTAGTCATAATAAAGAAGTAAATATTTCCTGTGTTCTTAGTTCTTATACTCTAACCTAGATATTTGTTCTGATAAGCCTGGACAAGCCCAGGCAAGTCTTAGGTCATAGCTTATTCCCCTTCCTTATTTGAAAATGTTGCTTCTCTAAGCATTCCTCAAGTTACTTCCTCTTTTCCTTTGTTCTCCTCTGCATTTACCTCTTTAGGAAAGTTTTAAGTTAGCCAACCGGGTGCAGCTTAGACTGTGAAGTCCAGTTCCAGCCAATGGAATGAGGACACAGCAATAGGGTGGATGCGTTAGATATAAATGGCCCTGCCTCCTTTGTTCAGTGCCCTCTTGTGGCAAGGTGACTAATGGGAGCACCCTTTCTGTAGAAAGTAAAGTTGCCTTGCTAAGGAAAATTAAATTTATATTCAAGTGCTACTTCTTTTGCGGCACCACAAATTTACATATGACAGTCACTCTTGACTAGGGAGGTCGAGGCTGCAGTGAGCTGAAATTGCACCACTGCACTCCAGCCCAACTTAGACCCTGTCAAATGAATACATTTTGTATGTATGTATGTATGTTAACCTCATCCAAAAATATCCTCACAGAACACCCAGAATAATATTTGACCAAATACCTGGGCACCAATGGCATATTCAACTTGATACATAAAATTAATCCTCACAGTACCATACTTTACAACTTTTGGAGTAAAGCTGGAATGTCATCACATTTCCAAGACTAACTCAATGTCCACAAATAATGCTTAAGTCATGAGGATCATCTCAACTTTGGTTTTGGATGCCTGACAAGCTGTCACTCTTCAACCTAAATGTCCGATTTGCAGACATTTTATTATCAAGAGAAGTAACAATGCCAAGCAGACTATTCCAGGTCAAAATAGTCAAATTAATAATTCACAAATTATTTTTAGGTATAAATCATAAATTATTGTATGTTTTGAAGGTATCACAAAGTTAAAGAAAAGTTGCAAGAACAATACAGATAACTTTTTTCCTGAACCATTTGAGAGTAAGTTGCAGACCTGGTGCCCTTCATTTCTGAATACTTTAGTGTGCATTTTCTACAAACAAGTACATTTTCCAGCATAACCACAGTGTATCCATCAATGTCATTAAATTAATACTGGTACTTTACTAACACCTCCTCCTCAGACCCTATCCAAATTATACCTATTATCATAATAATCTCATAATTTATAGCAAGATGATCCAAACCAGGAACGTGCATTGCATGTTTATGAATGTTTTAAAAACAAGTCTGTGTAGTGAGCGAAGCCACAGTGATAGAAGATGTAAAAGCTTTGCGTCTAGAATTTGTTCTGAAAACCCTGAGATTCAAGTAATACATTATTTCATTTACTGTTTCACACAGAGAATCCCTCATTTATAAGAGTTTGCCTTTCTATCTGATTTCCACAGGAAATGATACTATCAGTATCATACTCAGAATCTAATTACAGACAAGGCACTAACCTCTCACCTGTTTTCAGCTTTGTGTAAAGACCAGGGATCAGAACATCCCTCTCTACTATTTCATACCTAAGTGTGGGAGTTGATCCAAATGAAAAATATTTTTAAAAGTTTGTAAGCAAAAAGATTTAAAAGGTAAAAATTTTTTACTTGAATAATTTTATCTGGCAGATCTATGGAAAGATTAGGTAACTTTTTGGATCTCTGAATATACCTAATAGAAGTTTGGAAGGACCATGTCAAAATTAATTAATGTGAACTGACAAAGATTTGGGGTTCAAAGTAAAAACTCAGCTTTGGAAAAGTGAGCAAGTACTTAATCAGAAACAAAAAAAAAGTGAGGTGAAAATGGTTTCCAGGTGCTGTTGCTGTTATAGTTTGAATCATAAAGTTATTAAAAGGCTGCTGTAACAAACCACCATAGACTGGGTGACTTAAAAAGAACAAAACTTTATTTCTCACAGTTCTGGAGGCTGAGAAGTCTAAGATCAAGGCATCAGCAGATTCAGCGTCTGGTGAGGGCCCACTTTCTGGTTCACAGATAGCACCTTCTCACTGTCTCCCCACTCGGTAGAAGGGGCAAGGGGTCTCTCTTGGTACTCTTTTATTAAGGTCACTAATCCCATCCATGGGGCTCCACATTCATGACCTATTCACCTCCCAAAGGCCCTATACCTACCATCATATGGGGGATTTGATTTTAATTTGTGAATTTGGGGGAAGAGGGACAAACATTTGTTTTGTAGCAAAAGGGGTAGAGTAACATCTGCAAATAACTTGAGGAAAGAATTATTATTTAAAAACCATTATTCAATTGGATTTAAATAATTTCAAGAATGAAATGAAAATTCTGGTAATGGGTGGAAACATAGGTAAATTCCCCTTTTCCATTTACTACTACCTGCCTGAACAACAGTCATTTCTCATTAATAGGAATTTGAAGAGATCATTAGTAAAAAGTCTTGATCAGGAATTGGGTATAGCTGTTTCCAGCTATACACAAAAAATCTTATATGAAACGTATATTCACAGAAGACGCTCAAGTATGGCATTAAAAATGTCGTTTATTTAAATATTTATACAAATTTAACTGTATTTTCTTTTTTTGTAATAACTATATGAAATAAATACAAAGTAACACATTTTTACCAATCCCCCTTCCCATCCTTCTCACCACCCTCAAACTCCCACCGAATCAGAATCAGAGAAACAGCCAGAGGGATGTCTCTATGGAGACAAAGGGAGGCCTTGCACCCAGGCAGTTCAGCAGCTCCTGGTGGGTGGCCCTTCCCATCTGAGTACCCCTCAATGTGCCTGCTCCTCCTGGGATCCTTTCTGCTTCCTTGGGCCTCTGCTTTTGGTCTGCAGTGGTTGGTTATGTAGAGGGGTCGGTATTAGTGTTGTTCCAGGCCAAGCTACAGGTTGAGCAGGTCACATAGCAAGACAGGCCCAGCTGCGGACTCTGATGTCTGCAGTTAGGAGCGGCAGGAAGTAATGGATGCACCAGGCGCTGACTCAGCCTGTCCCTAAGCCTTAGTCTAGGGGAAGGGTCTGGCTGTTTACCTGCCTTCCTATTTGGAGCTGATCCTAGGACCAAATGGGATGCCATCGTCCAAGGGCAGGGAGATGCTAGAAGGGAGGTCCTCAGAAGAGAATGAGGCCTAAATGCCAAGGCAGGAAGGGGATCAATCCCAGCAGCACCTTCTGGTGGTAGTTGGGGGAATAAAATAGCCAGAGAAGAGATGCCCTGAAGGCATCTCCAGAGCTTGAGTCTCTCCATAGCCAACCTGAGCTCCTAAACCCCTCTGGACTAGGTACCCTTCTCCACTTACCTGCCTACTCAAGAAAGATAAGACAAGGCCAGGCGCAGTGTGGTTCATGCCTGTAATCCCAGCACTTTGGGAGGCCTGAAGTCAGGAGTTCAAGACCGGCCTAGCCAACATGCTGAAACCCTGTCATTACTAAAAATACAAAAATTAGCCAGGCATGATGATGGACACCTGTAATCCCAGCTACTGAGGAGGCTGAGACAGGAGAATCACTTGAACCTGGGAGACGGTGGTTGCAGTGAGCCGAGACTGTGCCACTGCATTCCAGCCTGGGCAACAGAGTGAGACTCAGAAAAGAAAGAAAGAAATAATGAGAGAGAGAGAGAAAAGAAAGATGGACCTTCTGGCAGGTGGGAAGGGAAGGGAGATGGTGCTGGAGGATGATGTGGTGGTGGGGCAGGCAAGTCTTCACCTCAAAGAGTTGGGTCACCAACACTGCCTTGAAGCTGCCATCTTCCTGGAGGCCACCACAGTCTTCAGGTGGTAACCCCAAGCTTCAGTGGCCCTGGCCCTATAAAATATAAAGCCCTACCTTTCTCCACCTGATCTACTTCCCATCTTACTTCCCATGCCCCAGCCATTCCCAGCAGGATAAGCCAGAACCCGCTGTCTGGTTTCCAGGCCTTAGCTACTGCTGAATTCTCAGGTGGATTCTCCTCCCTCTCACAACCAGAGAAACCCCTACTCATCTCTCAAGACAGTTCATAATCACCTTCTCCGGGATCTTCCCTCACCTTCCTTCAGACATGAAAAAGTGAAAATATTAGCTATGAAAAATACATAGTTCAAAGAAAGAACACAATAGATGGGGTAAACAGATTGACCACAGACGAAGAATGAATAAGTGAATTGAAAGATCAGACTGAGAACCTCTCCCAGAAAGCAGCAGGAAAGCATTAAAATATAGAAAACATTAACTTAAAAAACAAGAGAAATGGAGAAGTGTCAGCATTTTTATAATAGCCTTAGAGAGAGTGTAAGAATGAATAAATAAATCAAGAAAATATTTGAAGAATGGAGATAAATATTCCAGGAATAAAGTTTGCTGAATACAAAATCAGTTTACAAAGTCTATTGTATTTCTATATAAAACAAATACAGCTAAAAAACAAAAAAATTAAATTACCATTTAAATGGCATTTAAAAATCAATTACCTAGAGATCTCAGAAGTAAATCTAACAGAGGATGTGTAAATCCTTTCTGGAGAAAACTGTAGAACTTGCAAAAGAGATATTAAAGAAGATGATCACCCTGGGCAACATAGCAAAGCCCTGTCTCTGCAAAAAATACAAAAATTAGCCAGGTATGGTAGTGCACACCTGTAGTCTAAACTACTTGGGAAGCTGACGCAGGAGGATCGCTTGAGCCTGGGTTACAGTGAGCTAAGATGGCACTATTGCACTCTAAGCTAGGTGACAGAGTAAGACTCTCTCAAAAAAAAAAAAAAAAAAAAGGATGATTTAAATAACGCCTGTAATCCCAGCACTTTGGGAGGCCAATGTGGGAAGATCATTTGAGCCCATGAGTTCAACAGTAGCCTGGGCATAGTGAGACCCTGTCTCTACAAAATTTTTTAGAAATTAGCCAGGTGTAATGTCGGATGCCTGTAGTCCCAGCTACTTGGGAGACTGAGGTGGGATCGCTTGAGCCTGGGAGGTCAAGGCTGCAGTGAGCTGTGATCAAGCCACTGGACCCCAGCCTGGATGACAGAGTGATACTCTCTCTCGCAAAAAAAATTTCAATAAATGGAGTGATACACCATATTCATGTGCATAGGCTGGTGAGCTAACTACTACAAGAATGCTAGTTCTCCCCAAGTTGATCTACAGATTCCAATTAAACCCTGATGGATGGGTTGGTTGGTTTGTTTTGGTGGAACTTGACTGATTCTAAAATGTATATATTAATAGAAGTGAAAAAGGTTAAGAATAGCCATGACTCCTGAAGAACTAGGATGGAGGACTTGCTCTCTCAGATGTTAAGGATTTTTTGTTGTTTGGTTTTGTTTTTTTATATAAAGCTATAATAATTAAGAGTGCTGTATTGGCAGCCAGGCGCCGTGGCTCATGCCTGTAATCCCAGCACTTTGGGCAGCTGAGGTGGAAGGATCACCTGAGGTCAGAAGTTTGAGACCAGCCTGGCCAACATGGTGAAACTCCGTCTTTACTAAAAATACAAAAAATTAGCTGGGTGTGGTGGCATGCACCTGTAATCCCAGCTACTTAGGACGCTGAGACAGGAGAATCACTTGAAACAGGAAGGCAGAAGTTGCCATGAGCCAAGATTACACCATTGCACTCCAGCCTGGGCAACAAGAGTGAAACTCTGTCTCAGAAAAAAAAAAAAGAAGAAGAAGAAGAAGAAGTATAGTATTGGCACAAAGAAAAGTGAATCCGGCCAGGCGTGGTGGCTCATGCCTGTAATTCCAGCACTTTGGGCAGCTGAGGTGGAAGGATCACCTGAAATCAAGAGTTCAACACCAGCCTAGCCAACATGGTGAAACCCCAACTCTACTAAAAATACAAAAATTTGCCAAGTATGGTGGCAGATGCCTATAATCTGAGCTACTTGGGAGGCTGAGGCATGAGAATTGCTTGAACCAGGAGACGGAGGTTGCTGTGAGCTGAGATCGTGCCACTGCAGTCCAGTGTAGGTGACAGAGTGAGACTCCATCTCAAAAAAAAAAATGAAAGAAAAATGAATCCACGCATATTTGCATACTCGGTTTATCAAAAATATGTCTTCACAGAGCTGTAGAAGCAAGGCAATCTTTTAAACAAATGGTACTGGGACAATTAGGTGTCCAGTTAAAAGAAAAAACTAAACTAAAACTAAATTGGCTACTTACTTCACAACATACATTTTTTAAAAAATCAAATAATTCCCAGGTACATTATAGACCTAAGTGTGAAAAGCAAAGAAGGTAACAAAGGAAAATATTCTTGATATTAGAATAGTAAAAGATGTCTTTAAAAAAAAATAGAGACAGGAGTCTTGCTACATTGCCCAGGCTGGTCTCAAACTCCTGGCCTCAAGTGATCCTCCCACCTTGGCCTCCCAAAGTGCTGGGATTACAGGCATGAGCCACCATGCTGGACCTGAGATGGTAAAAGATTTCTTAAACAAGACACCAAAAGAACAAATCATGAAAGGAAAGGACTGATAAAATTGACTACATCAAAAATAATAACTTCTTCACCCAGAGACACCATAAGCAGTGCAAATGAAAGCCACAAAATGGGAAAATATGTTTGCATCACTTAAAATCAGATTCCATATCCAGATTGTAAGATGAAGTTCTACAGTTCTACAATTCAACAAGAGAAAGATAGGTAATCAATAGAAAAATATGCCAAAGAGCTGAACAGGCATTTTACGAGAGAGTACTCAAATGGCTAGTGAAAAATATGAAAAGGTAGGCCTGGTGTGGTGGCTCATGCCAGCAATCCCAGAAACCTGGGAAGCCCAGGTGAGAGGACCACTTGAGGCCAGGAGTTCAAGACCAGCCTGGGCAACATATCAAGACCATCTCTATAAAAAATTTTTTTTAATATCCAGGCATGATAGTGGCATGCCTGTAGTCCCAGCTGCTCAGGAGCCTGAGGCAGGAGGACTGCTTGAGCCCAGCCCTGTAGTATGAGGCTACAGTGAGCTATGATCATGCCACTGCACTCCAGCCTGGGCAACAGAACAAGACCCTGTCTCGAAAAAGAAAAAAAATATTAAAGGTGCTCAACTTCATTAGTTATCAGGAAAATGCCAATTTAACCCACTTGAGATACCATTTTATAATCCTCAGCTTGGCAAAAATTTAAAATGGGCTGTTCCAAGGGTTGGGAAATATGTTGAATAATAGAATCTTTCATACTCTGCTGGTTGGATTAAAACTACTTCAGAAAAGTTTGACGCTAGCTAGAAAAGTTAAAGATGTGTATACCTTTTGTCCCAATAAGTCATACACCCTACAAAAATGTATGCTTATGGCCAGGCACAGTGGCTCACACCTGTAATCCCAGCACAGCACTTTGGGAGGCCACGAAGGGCGGATCACCTGAGGTCAGGAGTTTGAGATCAGTCTGGTCAACTTGGTGAAATACCATCTCTACTAAAAATACAAAAATTAGCTGGGCGTGGTGGTGCACACCTGTAGTCCCAGCTACTCAGGAGGCTGAGGGAGGAGATTGGCTTGAACCCGGGAGACAGAGGTTGCAGTGAGCCTATAAATAAAATAAATAAACCTATGCTTATGTATACTAGGAAATATGTACAAAAATTTTCTTGCAGCATTGTTTATATAGCCCTAAATCAGAATGCTCCAAATGCCTTTCAAAATTAGAGTTGATAGATTATGGTAGATTCATACAATGAAATACTGTTGCCGAACACCAAGGGTTTGGCCTAGGTCTGGTTACTTGATGCACAGAAAGCCAAGCACTGAGAGTAGTATTGCCAGGGAAGAACAGCTTTAATGCCAGCGTCAGCCAGGAGGTGGGAGACCAGTCTCAAATTCATCTCTCCAACTTACTAAAGTTAGCAGTTTATATAGTAGGGAAGGAATGTAAAACAAGAATTAGGGAGGGGTAAGGAAGAGAAGCTGGTCAACAGGCAGCACTTGGTTGGATGAGGGATCTGTTGTCTCACCATAACCATACGCAGAAAAACAGAAATTCAGGAGGTATAAAGAAGAGGAGTTGGTCAACAGGCAGCAGGTGTGTCTCGTCTGGATGTGGTGATATGGAAAGTTTCGGTTCTTCAGTTCTCTCTGGGAGACCTGGTGGTTGGTTTCCTGAGAAAGGAATTCAGATAAAAACAAATGTAAGTTTCTCAAGTTTCAGTTCAGGGGGAAAACTGGGTTGATTTCAATACTACACAGGCAAGAAGATAAAGCACAGCTATATGTTAAAACATGGATAAATCTTAAAAGTATAATGTTAAATGAAAGAAACAAAACACAAAAGAATACATGCTGTATGACTCTATTTATGATGTTAATAAAAATAGGAAAATCTAAACTACACAAATAGGAAGTCATGCTTAGGTTGTAAAATGTTAAAGAAAAGTAAGGAAGTGGCGACCATAAAAGTCAATGTTTGAATTCTGAATCAAGCAGTCTAACTATTAAAAGATATATTTTGGCCAGGTATGGTGGCTAACACCTGTAATCCCAGCACTTTGGGAGGCCAAGATGGAAGGATCACTTGAGGCTGGAAGTTGGAGACCAGACTGTGCAACAAAACAAAAAAATTCAAATTAGGTGCACTTCATTTCTCAAGTCACCCACCTGGGCCTCTTCCAAGTTGTACTTACCTTCTTTTCTTTCCTTTCCTTACCGTTCTAAAGCTTTTAAACAAACTTTCACAACTGCTCTGAAAAAAAATTTTTTTTAATTAGCCATGTGTGGTGGTGCACGCCTGTAGTCCCAGCTACTCGGGAGGCTGATGCTGGAGGATCACTGAAGCCCAGAAGTTTGAGATTACAGTGAGTTATGATTGTGCTGCACTCCAGCCTGAGTGACAGAACAAGACCCTGCATCTAAAAAAAATTTTTTTAATTTGTACATAATTTTTCAAAGTATGTTTTTAGTTAATTTGGGAACACCTGAATATAGTGACATTCATTTGACTATAATGACAGTAAGGAATGATTGCGAATTTGGTTAGGTTACTAATGGTTTTATAATTACATAAGGAAATGTCTTCTTTTTTAGGTGCAGGCTTAAGTTCTTAGGGATGAAGTGACATAATATCTGGGGTTTGCTTTAAAACAGTCCAGGAAAGAGAAGGAGGGGGGGACGAGGGAGGGATACAGAGAGAAAGGTGGTTATATGAAACAAATGTGACAAAATGTCGGTGAAGCTTGATGATGGATACACGGGAATTTTAGCATACTGTACTTTTGTTTACATTCAGACATTTTCATAATAAAAAGTTTTTAAAAGATAAAAATATGTCAGGTACTCATTATTTCTGAGCTGGCGAGAGGGAGTTGTGATAAGAACAGGACATGCAGGGAAGCTTTTCGCTTTGGTAATTTTCTTTTTCTTGACCTAGGTAGTTGCTTGTTAAGATATGTTTACACAGGCTGAGTGCACTGGCTCATGACTGTAATCTTCAACACTTTGGGAGACTGAGGCAGGATGATTATCTGAGGACAGGAGTTTGAGACACCTTCAGCAACAGTGTGAGACCCTATCTCTTTAAAAAATCGTTTTGGCTGGGCACGGTGGCTCACACTTGTGATCCCAGCACTTTGGGGGCTGAGGCGGGTGGATCACTTGAGGTCAGGAGTTCAAGACCAGCCTGACCAACATTGTGAAACACCGTCTCTATTTAAAAAAAAAAAAAAAAAGCCAGGCACAGTGATGGGCACTTGTAGTCCCAGCTACTAGGGAGGCTGAGGCAGGAGAATCGCTTGAACCTGGGAGGTGGAGGTTGCAGAGAGCTGAGATTGCACCACTGCACTCTAGCCTGGGCAACAGAAGAAGACTCTTTCTCAAAATAAAAAAAATGTTTACACATAACCTTTCCTGTATGTGTCATGTTTCACAATTTTAAAAGGCAAATAAAACAGGAAACAATGTTTGTATGAATGCCCTCTGATTGTGACAGGAATGATCTTTCGGGTAAATAATGTCCCTGCATCTGTGAAACTTCTATCCACAGACACTAAGAAACAACAGATTCTTGTTTGGAGTAATAATCAGTTATATCATTTGGTTTAAACTGACTCAACTTAATGTTTAATAATTGTTAAATGTTTGAGAAGGAAACAGGTCTTCTTGTACACGTTTTTCCGGTCTGTTTTAATGTACTTTTTGATTTGGCTTGAATCAAAATGTTTTAAGAAAAAAACTTTTTTTTTTCAGAGTCTCACTCTGTCACTAAGGCTGGAGTGCAGTGGTGTGATCACTACTCACTGTAGCCTCCACCTCCAGTGCTCAAGCAATCATCCTACCTCAACCTCCAGAGCAGCTGGGACTATAGGTGCATGGTACTATGCCCAGCTAATAATTTTATTTTTTGTTGAGACAGGGTCTCACTATGTTGCCCAGGCTGGTCTTGAACTCCTGGGCTCAAGCAATCCTCCTGCCTTGGCCTCCCAAAATGTTGGGATTGTAAGTCTAAGCCACCATGCCGGGCCAGAAAAAAAGCTTTGTTCTTGCTATTTCAGTGCATTTTTTTAAATGCCTGGGACGTGTTCAATATGTTCTGAATTTTAGAACCTCTGCAACTCAGTGTTTCCTGCTTTCAAAGCAAAGTATGGAGAATATTTGCCTGTATTGGACATGAGGGTATATGTGTATATACGGGTGTTTTAAAGTATACACATGACTGGCCTTTTTGCTCTTTGTCTCTAGGTGATGCTGCGTTTGAGAAGCTATACCTTGTTTTAGTCTAATAATAGGTAGTATCTTTTGACCATTTATGAACAACAAAAGTACATATTGCTGGCATAATTAAGAAAAAACTTTGTAAAAGCAAGATCATGGTTTTAAACTTTTAGTTCAAGGCATGGTCAGACACTGGGGAGCTTATTTCGCTGCCCTCAAAAAAGAAATCTCCTTTACACCCTTCAAAAAATTAATTTAAAGTGGATCATACACTTAAATATAAAATGCAAAACTATAAAACGCCTAGAAGGTAACATAGGAGAACATGTAAGTAAGTGCCCTTGGGTATGGCAATGACTTTTTAGGTACAACACCAAAGGCATGATCCATGAAAGAAATAATTGATAAGCTGGACTTCATTCACATTTAAAAACTTCTGCTCTGCGAAATACACTGTTGGCCAGGCATGATGGCTTACGCCTGTAATCCCATCACTTTGAAAGGCCTAGGTGAGTGGATCACCTGACGTTAGGAGTTCGAGGCCAGCCTAGAAAACATGGCAAAACCCTGTCTCTACCAAAAATAGAAAATTCAGTCGGACGTGGTGGCAGGCGCCTATAGTCCCAGCTACTCAGGAAGTTGAAGCAGGAGAATCCCTTGAATGTGGGAGGTGGAGGTTGCAGTGAGCCAAGATGGTGCCATTGCACTCCAGCCTGGGTGATAAAAGCAAAACTCCATCTCCAAATAAATAAATAAATAAATAAACAAAAATAGAACAATTAGCAGGGAGTGGTGGCGTGTGCCTAATCTCAGCTACTCGGGAGGCTGAGGCAGGAGAGTCGCTTGAACCTGGGAGGTGGAGGTTGCAGTGAGCCAAGATCATGCCATTGCACTTCAGCCTGGGTGACAGAGCGAGACTCCCTCTTAAAAAAGAAAAAAGAAAAAAAGACCCTATCAAGAGAATGAGAAAACAAACTACAGACTGGTATAAAATATTTGCAGAAGACATATCCGATAAAGGATTTTTTATCTAAGACACATAAATAACTCTTAAAACTCAACAATAAGAAAATGAACATCCCAATTTAAAAACAGGCAAAAGACACCTGGCATGGTGGCACATGCATGTAGTCCCAGCTACTTGAGAGGTTGAGGCAGGAGGACCACTTGACTGAGGAGTTTGAAATGAGCCTGGGCAACATAGCAAGACCCCACCTCATAAAAAAGAAAAAGGGCAAAAGACCTAAACAGACATCTCACCAAAGAAGATATACAGATGGCAAATAAGTATGTGAAAAGATGCACCACATCAAATGTCATTAAGGTTTGCAAATTAATACAATGAGATACCACCACATACCTATTAGTATGGCCAAAATCCAGGACACCGACAATACCTAATGCCAATGAGGATGTGGAGCAACGGGAACTCTCATTCATTGCTGGTGGGAACGCAAAATGGTTCAGCCACTTTGGAAGACAGTTTGGCAAGTTCTTACAAAACTAAACACACTCTTATCTTACCATTCAGCAATCACACTCTTTGGTATTTGCCCAAGTGATTTGAAAACTTATGTCTACATAAAATCATGCAATGGATATTTATGCCCAAACTTGGAAACCAAGATGCCCTTCAGTAAGTAAATGGATAAACTGTGGTACATTCAGACAATGGAACATTATTCAGCAATAAAGATAAGTGAGCTCTCAAGCCACCAAGAGACATAGAAGAAACTTAAATGCATACTAATAACTGAAAGAAGGCAATCTGAGCCAGGTGTGGTGGCTCACGCCTGTAATCCCAGCACTTCGGGAGGCTGAGGTGGGTGGATCACTGGAGGTCAGGAGTTTGAGACCAGCCTGGTCAACATGGTGAAAAACCCATCTCTACTAAAAATACACACACACACACACGCACACACACACACACACACCAGCCAGGCATGGTGGCACATGCCTACAATCCCAGCTACTCTGCTACTGGGGAGGCTGAGGCAGGAGAATTGCATGGACCCAGGAGGTGAAGGTTGCAGTAAACTGAGATTGCGCCACTGCACCCCAGCCTGAGTGACAAAGCAAGACTCCATCTCAAAAAAAAAAGGCAATCTGAAAAAGCTATATGCTGTATGATTCCTAAATAAAAACATTCTAGAATAGGTAAAACTATGGAGAGAGTAAAAAAAAAATCAGTGGTTGCTAGAAGTTATGGGAGGGAAGTATGAATAGGTGGAGCACAGAGTATTTATAGAGCAATGAAACAACTCTGTATGATACTATAATGGTGGATGCATGTCATTATACATTGGTCAAAACCCACAGAGTGTACAACACCAAGAGTGAACCTTAATGTAAGCTATGGACTTAACCAATTATGTGCCAATGTACTGACTATAACAAATGTACCATTCTGCTGGGGATGTTGATAGTGGGGGAAGCTGTGCCTGTGTAGGAGCAGGGGGTATACAGGACACATACTTTCCACTCAATTTTGCTGTGGACCTAAAACTGCTCAAAGGAATAGAGGCTCACTCTGTCGCCCAGGCTGGAGTGCAGTGGCACGATTTCGGCTCACTGCAACCTCCACCTCCCAGGTTCAAGCAATTCTCTTGCCTCGGTCACCTGATTAGCTGGGATTATAGGCACACACCACCACACCCAGCTAATTTTTGTATTTTTAGTACAGATGGTGTTTCACCATGTTGGCCAGGCTGGTCTCGAACTCCTGGCCTCAAGTGATTTGCCCGCCTCGGCCTTCCAAAATCTGGGATTACAGATGTGAGCCACCACACCCAGCTCATATATATATATATATATATATATATATATATATATATATACACACACACACACACAGCTTCCAGGCACAGGACTGATGTAGCCTGAAATCAGACATAAAACCAAATCCTGCAGGTTGCTGAATTACAATGCAGGTTGTATTCATAGGATCTCCAGGTCTCACAGGCAAAAACATGGCCACTGATTAGGGAAAAATGGGACCTTGAGAATAGAAATAGGAACATCAGGATTGACTTGGATTGATCTGAGCATCCTAAACCCCAACCCTCACTGAGTCTCCCTTGGCAGCAGAAGCAGCCCTTCTTCCCCAGTCTATGGGGCTGGTCCTGCCTGACTTGGGGACCCTCTCACTGGCTAATCTTTTCAAGATCCACCATATCATCTTTTGCTGCCTCCAGACCCATTACTGAATTCAGATTACTGCATGTTCCAGGAAATAAAGTCAAACCTATGAGGAGAAAGCACACACACACAAATAAGAAGATATAGTTAATTTATATTGGCAGAAATCTCCATAATATGGGTGACAGAGTGAGACCATGTCTACAAAAAAAGAAAAAGAAAAGAAACCTCCATAATATGTGTGAGAATTGATTCTATGGATGATAGATTAGGGAAAAAGAAGTGTAACTTTAGATTGGGCCAAACTTTTTTATTGTTGTAAACTATATATAGCATAAAAATTTCTGAAAGGGCATGGTGGCTCATGCCTGTAATCCTGGCACTTTGGGAGGCTGAGGCAGCTGGATCACCTGAGGTCAGGAGTTCGAGACCAGCCTGGCCAACATGGTGAAAGCCCATATCTACTAAAAATACAAAAATTAGCCAGGCATGGTAGCAGGCCGGTAATCCCAGCTACTCATGAGACCGGGGTAGGAGAATCACTTGGACCCAGGAGGAGGAGGTTGCAGTGATCGGTATAGCTGCACTGCACTTCAGCCTGGACAACAGAGTGAGACTCTGTCTTTAAAAATTCCATGTTAACCATTTTTGAGTGTACAATTATATGGCATTAATTACATTCACGATGTTGGGTAACCATCACTACTACAGTATCTAGTTCCAAACTTTTTTATCACCCCAAACAGAAACTCTATACCCAATAAGCAATCATTTCCCTATTACCCCCAGCCTCTGGTAATCTCTAACCTACTTTCTGTCTATGAATTTGCCTAGTCTGGATAATTTCATTTAAGTGGAATCATACAATATTTGTCCTTTTGTGTCTGGGTTATTTCACTTAGAATATTTTCTTTGAGACAGGGTATCACTCTGTCACCCAGGCTGGGGTGCAGTGAGCAATCATGGCTCACTGCAGCCTCAACCTCCCTGAGCTCAGGTGATCCTCCCACTTCCTGAGTAGCTGGGACTACAGGTGTGAGCCACTACACTCTGCTAGATATTTTCAAGGTTCATCTATGTTGTAGCATGTGTCCAACCTTTATTACTTTTATGGCTGAATAATATTCCAGTATTTGTATATACTGCATTTTATTTATACGGTTAACTGTTGATGGACATTTCGGTTGTTTTTATCTTTTGGCTATTGTGAATAATGATGTAAAGAACGCTGGTTTGGAAATATCTGTTTTGACTACTTGTTTTCAGTTCTTTTGGGTATATTCTTAGCAGTGGAATTGCTGGGTCATATGATAATTCTCTGTACCAGGACTCCAATTTTTCCCCATCCTCTCCAATACTTATTATTTTCTGATTATTACTATTATTATAGTCATTCTAGTGGGAGTGAAGTGGTAACTGATTTGCATTTCCCTAATAACTAATGATGTTGAGCATCTTTTCATGTGCTTTTTGGGCATTTTGTAATTGCATTTTAGGTTTTGGGGTACATGTGAAGAACATGCAAGATTGTTGCATAGGTACACACATGGCAGTGTGATTTGCTGCCTTCCTCCCCCCATCACCTATATCTGACATTTCTCCCCATGCTATCTCTCCCCAACTTTTTGGGCATTTTTGTATCTTCTTGGGAGAAATAATCTATTCAAGTCCTTTGCCCATTTTTTTTCTTCGTAATCACAAAGACATAATCCTTTGTCCATTTTTTGTTTGTTTTTGAGACAGAGTCTTGCTCTGTTGCCCAGGCTGGAGTGCAGTGGCATGATCTCAGCTCACTGCAGCCACCACCTCCCAGGTCAAGTGATTCTCCTGCCTCAGCCTCCTGAGTAGCTGGGATTATAGGCACATGCCACCACACCCAGCTAATTTTTGTATTTTTAGTAGACGTGGGTTTCACCATGTTGGCCAGGAGGGTCTTGGAACTCCTGACCTCAGGTGATCCACCCACCTCGGCCTCCAAAGTGCTGGGATTACAGGCTTGAGCCACCGCGCCTGACCTCCTTTGCCCACTTCTAAATTGAATTGCTTGTATTTTTGTTGTTGAGTTCTAGGAGTTGTTTGTATATTCTGGATAGTAAATCCTTATCAGATATATGATTGCAAATATGTTCCCTTATTCTGTAGGCTGTCTTTACACTTTCTCGATGTCCTTTGATGCACAAAATTTTTAATTTTGATGAAGTCCAATTTGCCTTTTTTCTGTTGTTGCTCATGCTTGTAGTGTCACATTTGAGACTGTTGCCAAATCCAAGGCCATGAACATTAACTCCTGTTTTCCTCTAGTTTTACGGTTTTAGCACTTAAATTTAGGTTATTAATCCATTTTGAGTTAATGGTATATGGTGTGAAGTAGGGGTCCAATTTCATACTTTTGCATGTGGAAATCCAGCTGTCGTCCCAGCACCATCTGTTGGAGAGACTAATCTCTCCCCCATTGAATGGACTTAGCACTCTTGTATCAATTGGTGGCTGGGCACAGTGGCTCACTCCTGTAATCTCAACACTGGGAGACCAAGGTGGGAGGATTGCTTGAGCTCAGGAGTTTGAGACCAGCCTGGGCAACACAGTGAGACCTTGTCTCTAAAAAAAAAATTAGCTGTGTGTGGTGGCATGTGACTATTAAGCCCACCTACTTGGGATGCTGAAGTAGGAGGATCACTTGAGCCCAGGAGTTTGAGGTTGCAGTGAGCCTCAAACTGCAGTGAGCCAAGATCATGCCACTGCACTCCAGCCTGGGCAACAGAGCAAGACTGTGTCTTGAAAAAAAAAATCAATTGGCAGTTTGACTTGTTCTTTTTTTCCTAAGATTGTTTTGGCTATTAATGGCTCCTTGTAATTCCATATGAATTTGAGGATCAGCTTTTTCATTTCTGCAAAAAGGTCTTTGGAATTTTCATAAGGACTGTGTTGAATCTGTAGATCACTTTGGCTAGTATTAACATCTTAACAGTATTAGGTCTTTCAATCTATGAACATGAGATGCCTTTCCATTTCTTTAGATCTTTAATTTCTTTCACTGATGTTTCATGGTTTTCTTTTTTTTTAATTTATTTTTTTAAGATGGGGTTTCACCATGATAACCAGGCTGATCTTGAACTCCTGACCTCAGGTGATCCACCTACCTCGGCCTTACAGGCGTGAGCCACCGCACCCAGCCTCTTTCATGGTTTTCAATGTACAAGTCTTTCTCCTCTATTAAATTTATTCCTGGATATTTTATTCTTTTAGATGCTATTGTAAATTGAATTGCTTTCTTAACTTCATTTTGGATAGTTCATTGCTAGTGTATAAAAGCACAACTGCTTTTTATGTGTTGATCTTGCACCTTGCAACTTTGCTGATTAGCTCTATGCCTCTTCGTTTTTTTTTAAGAGACACGGGGTCTCATTCTGTCGCCTAGGCTGGAATGCAGTAGCACCATCATAGCTCACTGCAGCCTCAAACTCCTGGACTCAAGGGAGTCTCCCACCTCAGTCTCCCGTGTATCTGGGAGTACAGGCACACATCACCATGCCAGCTAATTTTTTAAATTTTTTTGTAGAGACGGGATTTTGCTATGTTGCCTAAGCTGGTCTCGAACTCCTGACTTCATGCAGTCCTCTTACCTCAGCCTCACAAAGTGCTGGGATTGTAAGTGTTGGCTACCACACCCAGCCTGAAATGCCTTTTCTGCATCAATTGAGATGATCATGTGTTTTTTTACTTCGTTCTATTAATGCGATGTTACTACCTTGATTGATTTTCATATTTTGAACCATTCTTGCATTCCTAAGATAAATCCCACTTGGCCAAAGTGTATCCTACTTTTAATATGCTGTTGGGTTTAGTTTGCTAGTATTTTGCTGGGGATGTTGCATCTATATTCATAAAGGATAATTGTCTGTAATTTTCTTCGTTTGTGATGTCTTCACCTGGTTTGGGTAGGGCCAAACTTTTCAGTATGGATGTACTCATCAGCAATCCTGGATGTACTTGGCTAGCTGAAGCAGCTAGGAGTATTTCTAAGAGTTGTTCTATTGACCGACCAAAACCTGAACTCAATAGTAGCTTGTGTTAAATGAAGTTAAGGTGCCAGAAATTCCATGGTACAGTGTAGGCAGGGGAATCCATCGTTTAGGGCAATAATTGTTGGAATTGATTGATCATATGTAACACATTCAACTCACCCTTTGACTATGTGACATTCCTTTCACAGGACTTTGAGAAATACACTGTGGTAAAGACTAGCTAAGTGGTCACTAAATTTGTTTCCTCTTCCTTCTAGAAACAATTTCAGACTACATTTTGTCAGTGTTCCTTACAATTGGGTATGCCCACTGTCTGAGTTCTAGCTGACAGAATATGAGAAGTGATGTGTGCTACATCCGACTCATAGAAACCTCCCACATGGTCTTTTCTTCTTCTGGCTATCTAGGATGGAGATGACAATAAATACAATGATGACCATGTTTTGAAGATAGCAGACCTTCTGGAGAGAAAATGCCTAGGCCTCTGAATTATCACTTAGAAGAGGGAAGCCCAATTATTAACACCTGTTTTGTAATACTACAGAAGCAAGAAATAAACTGGTCTTAAATCTCAGAAAATTTTCTATCCCAGGAGCTAGCTTTACCTTAACTAGTACATGAATGAGTACCAGTATTATAAAGCATTGCAATGATTTATTTCTGTAGATGAGGGTCATGGTGAGAAATCATGAATGAGCTCCCTGATTTCAATGGAGCTGATAGGTTCATCTCCTGAGAGAAATTGGGTCTGGTTCTTATAATGGACAGCAGAGCCACAGCAATAATCAGGGTTGACCTGTGGAGGTTTGTAACAGTGGATAATTAAGCAGTTTCCCTAGGACCAAAATAGATGGACAGCCTAACAAAGTCCTAGTTGTTACATAACCCCAATAATCTTCTACTCTGGAAAATGGAGGCCTGATCTTATCCTAAAAAAATGTGGCATTCCAGCCTCTTCCCCAGCTCATAGACCAGAGCCCCTTGAATGAAGAGGAGGGTCCATTCAAAGAAGGGACCTTGCTACGTTTTTTGCACACGTGTATGGTGAAATCTCCCTCCTTGCTTTCCTCACAGAGACCTGCAGCAAGTCATTGTACACTGGGGACAGGGAAATATTCAGGCCTTTTGAAATATGCTGGATATTGGTTCAGAATTAATGTTAATCTCTGGTGAACCAGATTGCCACTGTGGCCCATCAGTCAGAGTGGGATGGCGTTATACATGAAGTTTTGATCTGAGTCTTTCTTACACTGGGCTCAGGAGAAATCCCGTGGTGATTTCTCCAGTTCTGGATATACTATTGGAATCTACACAGTATAGATGGCATAAAGGGGAGGAGTACTACAGCTGAAGAGCAAGTTAAAGACTCAAGAAATGGGGGATAAAATTGGAGGTAGAAATATTGCGATAACAGAAGTTCCAGAAGCAGAGAAAGATAAAAACGGAAAAGCGCATCTACATTGCGAATGAATGCCTGAGCACAGGACTCCAAGTGACCTGGGGAAGCTGAGCTCCCCATTGAGAGCTGTGTGTTAACAGTACCATCGAGCCATGAAGTTATCTACGTGCAGTAGCACTCCACCACCAAATAGAATCGAGTTATACAAACAGGCCTAGGAGATGAATAAGCTGCCTGAGCAGGCGAATCATACTCCCATCTGCTGTACTGCCATCCCTCTTTTGCCCACATCTGAGGCCTCATGGGGAATTCCCTGTGACTAAGTGACTAAGGGATATCCAGCTTGGTTTACACATGACCCTGCATGATATGCTGGCCCTGCTGGAAGTAAACTGTAGTGTTACAGCCCCACTTAGGGTTGATCCCGAAGGACAGTGAGAAGGGAAATTCTCACAGTAGGACAACTGCTGGGTCACATAGCTGGTCAGAGGTATAGATAGGTTTCCACTGTTTCATGAGTAGTTGTTAATGATTCAGCTAAATGATGAAGAACTTGGAATTAACAGGACTGAAATATTATTGATGAAGTCTGAGGAAGAGCATATGGATGTCCCTCTTGGAATAGGCAGAGATATTCATGTCCCACATAAATGAGCACCAGAGAGTCCACTGCAGAAGAGGACCTCAATCAAGTAGATAGGTAGGTGTCCTATTCTGTGCTGTCAGTCAGTCTCCGTCTCTCACCCTTTTCTTTGCCCAATGGATTCCTGAACAAAATGGCCATGGTGGCAGGCATGAAGGTTATGCATGGGCTTGGACTTCCATCAAGACCAATCTGGCTATAAGCCACTGCTGAATGCCCAACTTGCCAACAGAAGAGAAACCCAAGCCCCTCTATGGAACTATTCCTTGGTGGCAGCTGATTACAGACAGGACAAAATGAAAAAAAGCCACTGGACCCCCAAAATTCTGGCAGGAAGCAGACTGGGGCAACTGTTCAGCTGCAAACATGTGCTGTCTTTCTTGAAAAAGGAAGGCACAGAGGGTAGAACCAAAAGGTCAGAGGGCAGAGCCTTAGAATACTATTCCCAGGCCTTGAAATCTAATCAGGAAACTTCCATTTTCCCAGCTGGATTTCAGAATTATTATAGACCAGTGATTCCTTTATGTCTCCCATTTCCCCTCTTTATGAACCAGAATATCTGTAGTAGTTGTCCTATGGCTATTCCACCATTGTATGTTGGGTGTGTTGGGAAGAGATAACTTGCCTCTTAAGTCTCACAAATCGACTGAGCATGGTGGCTCATACCTGTAATCCCAGCACTTTGGGAGGCCAAGGTGGAAGGATTGTTTGAGCCCAGGCTGGGCAATATAGTAAGAACTTGATCCTGAAGGACAGTGAGAAGGGAAATTCTTGTCTCCAAACAAAGAACTTGTCTCCATAACAAAATAAAAACAATTTTCTTACAAAATATACTTGTCTCACAAATCTAAAGATGGAGAAAAAAGCAGTTAAGAAGCCACATCCAAAGAGTCTCTTTCATATATGGACCTGATTTAGATGATATTCTGGATTTCAGCGCAATGCTATAATTGGATGAGACTTTTAGAGACTTTGGCAAGGAGGTGAATGTATTTTGCATGTGTAAGTAACATGAATCACCAGGACCAGTGGAAAAACTACAGTAGCCAATCTCCAATGACACACCCCCCCCACACACACACACCACCTCCTGGTATTCACACCTTTGTATAATCCCCTCCCCTTGAGTGTGGCCTGGACCTAGTAACTGACTTACTTCTAACAAATAGAATATTGCAAAAAGTGATGGGATGTCACATCTGAGATTAGGTCATAAAGACTAAGAGTTCTGTCTGGCATGTGGGCACTCTCCTTCTGTCTCTAGCTCATCTTGATTGCTCTGCTGAAGCAAGCCACCATGTTGTGAGCCACCCTATGAAAAGGTACACATGGCAAGGAACCTGAGAGCGGCCCCCAGCCAACAGCCAGCAAGAAACTGAATCCTGCCAACAGCCACGTGAGTAAGCTTGAAAGCAGATCCTTCCCCAGTCGAGCCTTGAGATGACTGCAGCCCCAGCTCACACCCTGCAGGCTGTGAGACCCTGAAATAAAAACTAGAAACTCAGCTAAGTTGTGTACAGATTCCTAACCCACAGGGATGAGAGATAAAATGTTTAAAGCCACTGAGTTTTTGAGGTCATTTGTTATGTAGCAAATATGTAACCAATACAGATGGGCATGGAGGTTATGCACCTTGGAAATATGAACTTCTACCTACCAAGGCCACTGTGACCCTAGCACTGCTGAATTCCCAACCTATCAACAGCAGAGGTCAACACTGAGCTCCCATTGTGAACTATTTCCTGATGGCAAGCTGATTACTTTGGATCCCTTCTGTCTAGCACTGGCCCAAGGGTCATAGAGATTTGGTGAAAATTCCAGCTCTGCCAGGCTGATATACCTAGGTGAAGTCTGTTCCTCTAGGGGTCTGTTTCTGTTGGGGACTTTGTGAAATATCTCACATGAAGCTGAGCACCCAGGTGGAGGTTTACAAGGGGCTGTTCCCCTCCCTTTCATGTGAGTGCCCCAGGGCAAGACCCCTGCCCATCTGCTTCCTAACCCCTCTTCTCCTATCACGATTTCAGATCTTCTGGGAAGCACGGTTAATGTCTGCCCTTTCAAGGACCCACTGACCATATACCTCAGACCCCAGGTGCCAATCCCAAGGGGTGGAATCCTGTACCACCAGACTCTGCAATGCAAAGGAAAGAGTTCATATGCACAGTGTGGGGCTCCAACTGATTCTCCTCTTTCTAAAACTAGACTGCAGGCCCTTGGCCTGGAAGTGGAGACAGACTGAGGCCTGTGCCTTGCCTTCCCTCCAGAAGCTCTAGAGCTTGGGGGTGGGAGGAGAGACAGACCTATTAGAGTATTTCAAACACCATGTAAGGCACAGGTGGAGGCACTAGGGAGAAGGTGCAGAAGGGGTCAGTTGGGCCTGAAGGAAGGGTTTGGGTAACATCCTTAATGGAAGTGATGTCTCTTCCCATCCCCTTGTCACCTGCAGATTCAGGAGCCATTTGAGGGATGTGGCAACATTTGGGAGGACTCAGCAGCTAGGTGATGTTCTGTATAATAGAAAATTACTTTGAGGTGAGAAGATACCCACTGCTTCCCTGACCTTTCTCCCCATCCCCTTATCTGAGGGGGAAGGGGGTCCCCTGAGCCAGTCCCCCTCCCTTTCTAGGGGAACGTCTGGGAAAGAGGGCAGATCTGGAACCAGAGAAAGCTCTCTGGAAGAGGTTAGATTTGATCTAGGTCTTGCAGGATGGTGGCCAGGGACCCTCCTGCAGACTTCATAGGATGTACGTCTGCTGTGAAGGAATGTGTGAGGGATGGGACAGGGACATGCCAAGATGGGAAAGGCTGTCTGAAAACCGGTAAGGGATGGGCCCATACCTGGGAGGACCCCTGTCCTGGGCCAAGCAGTTCTCTAACCTGGGAGTTGCTTCAGGTTGTAGGCACCATCTCTTCCTCTCCTGTCTGGCCACTTCTTCCTGTGGCTGACTGCCTTGGGAGTGGTAGTTAAGTGCTGAGATTGAGCCCCTTCCTGACCATTCCAGGTGTCACCTCTCCTGTCAGCTCCTCCAACCCTCTTTTTATGATCAATTCCAGAGAGGTGGGCAGCCAAAAGGTCAGCCTCTTCCCCTGGACTGAGACCTGGGGTCAAACTGGACCCAACAGGGTTGTCCAGGGGCTCCTGTCTCTCCTCACTTGTATAGCCCAGGGTCCCAACTGGAAGACCAGATGAAGCAGGGCTGAGCCAGACCCTGCCACCAATCAAAGCTGCTGCTAGAAGAGGGTGGGCTTTCTTATTTACCATTAGGTTCCTGTCAACTACAAATATGGAAAAGAGGAATGAAACTCATGAAAGTTCAGATGAGAAAGCAAAATAAGGGTGGCAGTGTGCTAAGCTCCTGGGCTAGAGATCAGGACCCAGTCTTTAGCCTTCAGCCTCCTCACAGCCCCTTGAGAGGAGGGAAAGCCCTTGAGGCAGGAATGATGGGAAGCTGACTGATTTAGTAGGGGTTCCATGCTCTTGCTTCCTCCTTTGTATCCTCATATCATGGGCAGACTCCAAACACAGAACACTCAAGACCACAAAGAATGGTTCTTAGCCTTTGGAGGGTCAAGGATCCCTTTATGAATCTGATACAAGCTGGTTAGTCTTCTTGTCAGAAAAACACATGCATGCAAACACCCACAAAAACATGTAAACAATCTGTTAACAGTCCCTGATTTAGTCCAGCACCCTTATCTTAAAGACTTTGGGACCCAGAAGGGAGATCTTTCCAACTACTATGGGATCATTCATGGGCTTGAAACTACTATGCTAAGTGAAAGAAGCCAGACACAAAGGATCACATATTATACTATTCCATTTATGTAAAATGTCCAGAATAGGCAAATGGGATGAGGGGTAAAGGATGACTAAGGGATATGGAGTTCCTTTTTGCAATGATGAAAATGTTCTAAAAATTTTTTTGCAATGATTGCTGCACAACTCTAAATATACTAAAAGCTATTTAATTGTACACTTTTAAGTGGGTGAACTGTATGGTATGTACATTACATCTCAATAAGCTGTCTTAAAAAAGTGAACTCAGGGGTTTCAAATGACCACACATCTGAGCTTTAGTCCCCATTCATCAGGGGCATAAAGAACCTGTGGAGAAAAATCAGGGAATTATGCAGTATACGGGTTAGACAAGAAAATATTCTAGAAAGAACGAGATTCTATGTATAATCTTAAGGGCAATAAAGCATCATGGAAGGTTTTAGGCAGTATATAATCAGATCTACACTTTAGAAATCCAAATCACTTAACTGTACATTTCAAACAAGTGAATTTTATGGTATGTAAATTATATCTCAATAAAGCCATTTAAAAAAAAATCCCTTTGGGAGCTTGAGGAGGATAAACTGGAGGGCATCAACTGGGGGAGGCTGTGGTGTACGAGTCAGGATGAGGGGGCCAGAGCCCATCTGTTTGGACTTGAGGGAAAGCGGCTTGGGGGTAGAGTTGGGGAAGGATCAGAAATGTCTTGCCCAAGGTTAAGAAGCTGGTGGAACTTGATTTCAGAACCCAGAGCTTCCTGGCTTTAGCCCGAGCACTCCTGCTAGCACTATAGCTGCTCCACTGACTGGTGAGGGAAGCACTGTCCTCCCTATCTAAGAGAAATGCACTTCAGAAACATGTTTCCAAAAAATGTTTCTAAGGGTTTTATTTCTAACAAGAGGAAAATAATAAAATAAAATTAAAATAGGCTTCAGTTGGAACCAAGTTTCTTGTCTTGCTTTTTCTTTTGAACAAATTAATTACACACCAACAATCTTCTTTTATTACAACATGAACCCAGGAGGAGGAAAGGAGACAGGGAAGGACGGGGAGGGAGGATTGAGGTGGTTGTGAGGACAAGCACCAAAAGCTTTCTTCAGATCACGGGGAGCCCTGTTCAGCTCAACAGCCAAATTCCTTTAAAATAAAAAACTGTGAGCACAACTATGTGAAGTTTCCTCCTCCTGGGTGGAACAGTCAGGGGAAGGGAGAGGGAGAAGGGGGTAGGAAGGAAGGAAAAGAGGGGAGGAGAGTAGGGGCAGGGGTTAGTGTAGCATGGCCTGGTCAGGACCAGAACTGGGGAGAGAAGGGAGAGGAGAGTCCCCCAGTTCGCATATGCACTGGCCTTGTCTCTGGAATGGTGCTGGCCCAGCCCCAGCCACCCCCCCCACCCCCCCTCCCACCAGCCCATCCATCTATCTGCCTCAGGTGTCTAGGAATGCTGGTTAGAGGCTACCAGGGAGGGAGGACTCCAGGGGCCGGCCCCCAAGAGCTGAGGTCTGAACAATACCTTGGAGTCAGAATACAAAAGTCAAGGGACTCAGGGGTGAGTGGGTAGGGGGATAGCCACCCCCCTACCCACCCACCCCCCAAGAAGCAGGCTTGATGGTCACAAAGAAGATCCTTGAGGCCGAGGGGGGTCTCTGTCAGGGTCTGTGCTAGGCTCAGCCACTGTCACAACTGTTGCTGAGGCGGCTGCTGTGGGCAGGGCAGATGCAGCCGGGGAGTCAGAGTGGAGAAAGGGGCTGAGGGGCCTGAAGTGGTCCCTTGCGCCGGTTCCAAGCCATTCTGGTTCTCCTGGGTGCTGGGGCTGCCACTGGTGGGGATGGGTGCAGGGGGGGCCCTCACCCCCAGTCTCCTCCTCCAGCTCTTCCTCCTCCTGGGCCTCCTCGGCCTCTGGCCCTGAGCTCCGTACCCTCTTTGGCTCTAGCTCCTCTCGGGCTGGGTCATCGCCCTCCCCACCCCGATCCACCTTCCGCCGCCGCCGCCTCTCCAGGGCCCGGCCCCGAGCCCGACTCCCGTGACGCTCTGCCTTCTCCAGCTGTGATTACAGATAGGCAGAAAGACAGGTTGTGGGCCAGTGGTCAGGCCTGGGCTCCCTACTCGGTCTGACCTCCTGGCCCGGCCCATGACCCCTCTCCTCACCTCCAGAAGTGTGCGGATCCTCTCCAGGTCTGGGGGCTGTCCAGCCTGCAGCAGCTGCCAGATGCTGTGGTTCTCATCCAGGGTCACCTCGAGCAGGTCCCCCTCCATCATCAGCTCCTCCAGGGGGGCCCGGGTTGCCTCAGGCAGTTCCAACACAGGGCCAGTCAACTGTGGCAACAGCGAGGACAGCAGTTCCAGATCTAGGGGAATGCAGGAACAGGTTGCGTTAGAGGCTGCCCTTGGTCTTAGCCCCACCACTACAACAGAGCTACGTGGGTCCCTCTGATGATGTGCAGTCGACAGCCTACCCACACCACACCTAGACCTACCTCTCTTACCTGAGCCCTCCTCCGGGGCTACCTTCTCAGGACTGGTCACACTGTCTCCATTCTCCAGTAAACCCTGGACCTGCCAAGGAAAGCAAGAATAGGTAAGGGCAACTGAACTGAAGAACCAGGACCTATTCCTCCCCCGCCAACCCCAAATTTGAGATCCTCCTCCTTTTGGAGGGGGATGGAAAACATAGGCTGCCAGCAGGGAGCAGAGTCAAGGAATCTGGACAGATGCAGAATGGAGCGGGAAGGGTGTTCCAATGAAAACTGAAAATTGGAGAGCAAGGGGCAGGGCCAAGCCTAACCTGAGGTAGGGGTTAAAAGACAAGAATCTGAGGACATGAGCTGGGCTGAGCAGCTCACCTTAGGCATATCCTTGCCACTGCCCTCTTTGAGGGGGTCAGAAGCAGGGGCTGAAGGGTAGTTAGGAGGCTCCTCAGGTCTGGGTTCAGGCTGTAGCCGTTGGCGGAGTTCAGCCAGTCGTCCCAACAGAGCAGTCACATCGTCAGAGGCCAGAGCCTGCCTGGCGCGGCCTTGCCAGCTGATGGCCCTCTCTGTGAGGCATTGCAGGGCTTCGCCCTCGGGCAGCCGCACAGGCAGTCTCTGCAGGGCTACCAGCAGTGCCAGGATGGTCTCCAGGCGCGGGCGCCTTGAGCGCATACACAGTGGACACAGGAATTTTGTGTCCCATTCCCACCAGGCCAGCAGTGGGGATGAGGTGGGATTGGGCCTTGGAGAGCTGAGAAGGCGGGGCACTGACACACACCGCCCATGGAACCAGTCCTGACACAGGTCACACTGCAGAGCTCCCGCCCCGGCCGGCACCTGCCCACACACACAGATAGAGGTTGTAGAGGCGGCTGTGGTCGATGATGCCAGTGGACTAGGCTTGGCCGAATTGGTGCGACGCAGCTGCAGGATACCCTCCTTCTCCTTCTGTTCCCCCTCCTTGAAGGCCACAATCTGTCATACCCAGGACAGGAGCAGAGTGGGTTAGCAGCCTATCCCTTCCCTTCTCTGGCCCCTTGTAACACCCTACTCCCAAACCAGGAGAACTAAGGCTCAGGAAGCAAGCGGTCTGCTGATGGTCACCCAGCTCAGACACTATCACCACCAAGCTCTTCTCTCCATCTGTGTCTAAGCTCCTTACCACAGAGCCAGGGTCCCTGAGGTCCTGCGCAGACAGCCCCAGCAGCTCCGTGTCAGATTTGTACAACCCCAGCTCCTTCTCCATCCACCGGCTGCGCTTGGTGCTGTCTGAGCCAGCGTCTGCACATGGGCAGAGCACCTGAGGCAGGCAGACAGAGATGGAATGACTGGGCTTCCCTTATATCCCAGGCCCTCTCCTTCCCTCCCTGGTACCCTCACAAAACCCATATTATCACATAGTAGCCAGGGCAGGTGTAAGAGATGCAGTAGGTCAAGGTCCCAGGCCTCACCTCCAGCAGTGTGTAGCAAGAATTCTTCTTGAGGAAGGTCTTGGAGGCTTTCTCCCTCCAGGAGTGAGCTGTCAGTACCTGTAGCTCTAGCTGTCTCAGCTCCTCCAGCCCCACAGGTAGGTCCCGGCCCACAGCCACCAGGCCCTCCAAGTCATCCAGGCAGGGGTAGTGGTCACCATTCTAGGGACAAGGGCAAGAGACAGCTTAGTTCAACTTGCCAATGCTACTGATGCTTATTCTGTCCCTGGCCGTGAGCTGGAAACATGAACTGGGCTCAGTCTTGAGGGAGAAAAAAACCGGCGTCATCCTGAGGAACACCCACTTAACACTCTCTCACAACTCTGGCATCTACTGATTGGCTCAGCCCCAAGTATCCAGTCAGTCTTCTGTTGTGGTTTGCTTCCTCTCTCCTCCACGCCCCTGCCCTGCTCACTCCCATACCACCTGTTTCCCTGGCCCACCATTCTCATCCTAACCATTGCCCTCTCTTCCTTCAGGCCAGCCTCATACTCTTCCTCTCACCCTGCTCATCAGGCACATTTTGCCTCCTGACTATATGCCATGCCCCATTACTCTCTCCAGCCAACCCAACCCATCCCATCAACCCAGCACATCCCAGTGTATATTCCATCTCTTCCCAGCTGGACTGAAGGCCTGGGGTGGAAGATTGGGGTGGCAGGGTCCTCACTTGGATCTCATCCACATCAGCAATCCAGGCCCGGGCCTTAGCAAGAGCCTCCTTGAGAGCCTGGATGTTGGGCAGGTGAACAGGGATGTTTTCCGCCTCACGAATTATGGCCTCGAGTGTGGCTGGTGGATGCTTCTGCCTAAAGGTAGGAAAAACAAAGAAACTCAGTCTAATGTGGTCTGCCTGACCAGAAGCCCACATTGCCCACCAGATATAACTGCATGGGCCCCTTGGATGTCTGTTATTCCTGCTGCCACTTGGGTCTACTTGCTTGTATTCCACCTAAGGGTAGCTGCCAGTCCCTGCTTCACCAAGATTGCATGTGCCCAACTTCATCCTTCTGCCATTGCTCTTGTGCCTCTGCTTGCCTGCCAATCTGCTGGCCTGCTGGCAGTGCCTGCATAACCTGTATTGTGTAATCTGTTGCTGCAGTTTGTCAACTGCCCTGTATGGGGTCTTTCTACTAACATCTGCCCATCTGCCTATCACTTGTGCTTCTGGGTATGGGCACATGAGCCTGTAGGACTAGTCCTCTACATAATCTCTATCTGTCCATTTCTGCTTCTCCATCAGCCTCTCTCTGCCTTTAAGTATACAGAGATTTTTTGTTTTGTTTTGTTTTTAAAGACAAAATGACAAGATAGGGCACAAAAGGAGGGAGGAGAGTCAGTATGGCAACACAGAAGCGTGATACCTAGGCCACCCCATGGGAATCATCTTCTGGGTCTCCATTCAACGTTGATGTTTGGAATAGGGCAGGAAAGCAGCAGCTGGACCTACCTGGCCTCCAGGCAGAGGTCGGCTTTCTCCTCCCAGCGTTCAGCAATGGTCAGCAGCTCCTGCAGCTCAGCCTGGGCTTTATCCACAGCAGGGCTAGGGGCTACACTGGCACCCGCGACCAACAGTCCTCGCATGACAGCCAAGGTGCCCCTTCGGGCTGAGGGGGCCAGTGTGCGTTTCACCTCATCCAGCCATCGTGCCTGTTCCACCTGCCGCTGGAGCTGCTGGGCCTCAGGAACCTCCACCCCTAGCTGCCGCCCCCTCTCCAACAGGGACTGCAGTAGCCCTGGACTGGAGGGCTGTGAGGCCAGGGCCTCACGAGCCTCAGCCTGGTAGGCCTCCACCTGTTCCAGAACACCCTACCAGAACACAGGATGAAGAACAAACTCCTTAGCTGGGCCCACTGAGGGCCAGATACCCTTGTGCCATCTACCTTCTTGCCTTCCAAGCTTTTGGGGCAAAAGAGCCTAACATTGGCTGGACTCTCCTTCTCTAAGCCCTAAGACAGTGGGGTTCCCAACACTGACTGCTCATTAGAATGCCCTGGGGAATCTGTT